GTCATCATGGTCACCTACACCACCATCATGGTCATCTACATCATCATCATGATCATCTACATCGTCATCATGGTCATCTACATCGTCATCATGGTCATCTACATCGTCATAATGGTCATCTACATCGTCATCATGGCCATCTACATCGTCATCATTGTCCTCTACATCGTCATCAAGGTCATCTACATCGCCATCATGGTCATCTCCATCGTCATCATGGTCATCTACATCGTCATCATGGTCATTTACATCGTCATCATGGTCATCTACATCGTCATCATGGTCACCTACACCGTCATCATGGTCATCTACATCGCCATCAAGGTCATCTACAACGTCATCATGGCCATCTCCATTGTCATCATGGTCATCTACATCGTCATCATGGTCATCTACACCGTCATCATGGTCATCTACATCGTCATCATGGTCATCTACGCCGTCATCACGGTCATCTACATCGTCATCATGGTCATCTACATCGTCATCATCTACACCGTCATCATGGTCATCTACACCGTCATCATGGTCATCTACATCGTCATCATGGTCATTTACATCATCATCAAGGTAATCTACACCGTCATCATGGTCATCTGCATCGTCATCATGGTCATCTACATCGTCATCATGGCCATCTACATCGTCATCATGGTCATCTACATCGTCATCATGGTCATCTACACCGTCATCATGGTCACCTACATCGCCATCATGGTCATCTACATCGTCATCATGGTCCTCTACATCGTCATCATGTTCATCTACATCGTCATCATGGTCATCTACACCGTCATCATCGTCATCTACATCGTCATCATGATCATCTACATCGTCTTCATGGTCATCTACATCGTCATCATGGTCATCTACATCGTCATCATGGTCATCCACATCGTCATCATGGTCATCTACATCGTCATCATGGTCATCTACACCGTCATCATTGTCTTCTACATCGCCATCATGGCCACCTCCATCGTCATCATGGTCATCTACATCGTCATCATGGTCATTTACATCGTCATCATGGTCATCTACATCGTCATCATGGTCACCTACACCGTCATCATGGTCATCTACATCGCCATCAAGGTCATCTACAACGTCATCATGGCCATCTCCATTGTCATCATCTACACCGTCATCATGGTCATCTACACCGTCATCATGGTCATCTACATCGTCATCATGGTCATTTACATCATCATCAAGGTAATCTACACCGTCATCATGGTCATCTGCATCGTCATCATGGTCATCTACATCGTCATCATGGCCATCTACATCGTCATCATGGTCATCTACATCGTCATCATGGTCATCTACACCGTCATCATGGTCATCTACATCGTCATCATGGTCATCAACATCGTCATCATGGTCATCTACATCGTCATCATCTACACCGTCATTATGGTCATCCAAACCGTCATCATGGTCATCTGCACCGTCATCATGGTCATTTACACCGTCATCATGGTCATCTACACCGTCAACATGGACATCTACACCGTCATCATGGTCATCTACATCGCCATCATGGTCATCTACATCGCCATCATCGTCATCTACATCGTCATCATGGTCATCTACATCGCCATCATCGTCATCTACATCGTCATCATGGTCATCTACATCGTCATCATGGTCATCTCCATCGTCATCATGGTCATCTACGCCGTCATCATGGTCATCTACATCGTCATAATGGTCATCTACATCGTCATCATCTACACCGTCATCATGGTCATTTACACCGTCATCATGGTCTTCTACATCGCATTCATGGCCATCTCCATTGTCATCATGGTCACCTACACCTTCATCATGGTCATCTACATCGCCATCAAGGTCATCTACAACGTCATCATGGTCATCTACATCGTCATCATGGTCATCTACATCGTCAAGATGGTCATTTACATCGTCATCATGGTCATCTCCATCGTCATCATGGTCATCTACGCCGTCATCATGGTCATCTACATCGTCATCATGGTCATCTACATCGTCATCATCTACACCGTCATCATGGTCATTTACACCGTCATCATGGTCATCTACATCGTCATCATGGTCATTTACATCATCATCAAGGTAATCTACACCGTCATCATGGTCATCTGCATCGTCATCATGGTCATCTACATCGTCATCATGGCCATCTACATCGTCATCATGGTCATCTACATCGTCATCATGGTCATCTACACCGTCATCATGGTCATCTACATCGTCATCATGGTCATCAACATCGTCATCATGGTCATCTACATCGTCATCATTGTCCTCTACATCGTCATCAAGGTCATCTACATCGCCATCATGGTCATCTACACCGTCATCATGGTCATCTACATCGCCATTATGGTCATCAACATCGTCATCATGGTCATCTACATCGTCATCATGGTCATCTGCATCGTCATCATGGTCATCTACATCGTCAGCATGGTCATCTACATCGTCATCATGGTCATCTACATCGTCATCATGGTCCTCTACATCGCATTCATGGCCATCTCCATTGTCATCATGGTCACCTACACCGTAATCATGGTCATCTACATCGCCATCAAGGTCATCTACAACGTCATCATGGCCATCTCCATTGTCATCATGGTCATCTACATCGTCATCATTGTCATCTACACCGTCATAATGGTCATCTACATCGTCATGATGGTCATCTCCATCGTCATCATGGTCATCTACGCCATCATCATGGTCATCTACATCGTCATCATGGTCATCTCCATCGTCATCATGGTCATCTACATCGTCATGATGGTCATCTACATCGTCATCATGGTCATCTGCATCGTCATCATGGTCATCTACGCCGTCATCATGGTCATCTACATCGTCATCATGGTCATCTACATCGTCATCATCTACACCGTCATCACGGTCATCTACACCGTCATCATGGTCATCTACATCGTCATCATGTTCATTTACATCATCATCAAGGTAATCTACACCGTCATCATGGTCATCTGCATCGTCATCATGGTCATCTACATCGTCATCATGGCCATCTACATCGTCATCATGGTCATCTACATCGTCATCATGGTCATCGACACCGTCATCATGGTCATCTACATCGTCATCATGGTCATCTACACCGTCATCATGGTCATCTACATCGCTATCATGGTCATCAACATCGTCATCATGGTCATCTACATCGTCATCATTGTCCTCTACATCGTCGTCAAGGTCATCTACATCGCCATCTTGGTCATCTACACCGTAATTATGGTCATCTACATCGTCATCATGGTAATCTATATCGTCATCATTGTCATCTGCATTGTCATCATGGTCATCTACATCGTCATCATGGTCATCTACATCGTCATCATGGTCATCTACATCGTCATCATGGTCATCTACACCGTCATCATTGTCCTCTACATCGCCATCATGGCCATCTCCATCGTCATCATGGTCATCTACATCGTCATCATGGTCATCTACATCGTCATCATGGTCATCTACACCGTCATCATGGTCATATACATCGTCATCATGGTCCTCTACATCGCATTCATGGCCATCTCCATTGTCATCATGGTCACCTACACCATCATCATGGTCATCTACATCGCCATCAAGGTCATCTACCACGTCATCATGGCCATCTCCATTGTCATCATGGTCATCTACATCGTCATCATGGTCATCTACACCATCATAATGGTCATCTACATCGTCATGATGGTCATCTCCATCGTCATCATGGTCATCTATGCCGTCATCATGGTCATCTACATCGTCATCATGGTCATCTACATCGTCAGCATCTACACCGTCATCATGGTCATCTACACCGTCATCATGGTCATCTACACCGTCATCATGGTCATTTACATCGTCATCAAGGTAATCTACACCGTCATCATGGTCATCTGCATCGTCATCATGGTCATCTACATCATCATCATGGTCATCTCCATCATCATCATGGTCATCTACATCATCATCATTGTCATCTACACCATCATCATGGTCATCTCCATCATCATCATGGTCATCTACATCGTCATCATGGTCATCTACATCGTCACCATGGTCATCTACACCATCATCATGGTCATCTACATCGTCATCATGGTCATCTTCATCGTCATCATGGTCATCTACACCGTCATCATGGTCATCTCCATCGTCATCATGGTCATCTACATCGTCATCATGGTCATCTACACCGTCATCATGGTCATCTACATCGTCATCATGGTCATCTACATCGTCATCATGGTCATCTCCATTGTCATCATGGTCATCTACGCCGTCATCATGGTCATCTACATCGTCAGCATCTACACCGTCATCATGGTCATCTACACCGTCATCATGGTCATCTACACCGTCATCATGGTCATTTACATCGTCATCAAGGTAATCTACACCGTCATCATGGTCATCTGCATCGTCATCATGGTCATCTACATCATCATCATGGTCATCTACACCATCATCATGGTCATCTCCATCATCATCATGGTCATCTACATCATCATCATTGTCATCTACACCATCATCATGGTCATCTCCATCATCATCATGGTCATCTACATCGTCATCATGGTCATCTACATCGTCACCATGGTCATCTACACCATCATCATGGTCATCTACATCGTCATCATGGTCATCTTCATCGTCATCATGGTCATCTACACCGTCATCATGGTCATCTCCATCGTCATCATGGTCATCTACATCGTCATCATGGTCATCTACACCGTCATCATGGTCATCTACATCGTCATCATGGTCATCTACATCGTCATCATGGTCATCTCCATTGTCATCATGGTCATCTACGCCGTCATCATGGTCATCTACATCGTCATCATGGTGATCTACACCATCATCATGGTCATCTACATCGTCATCATGGTCATCTACATCGTCACCATGGTCATCTTCATCGTCACCATGCTTCACATGAGGAGGAGTGCCAGCACGCTGGGCGGTCTCACCGTTTTTCAGCCACATGATGTCCTCGTTGAGTTTGGTCACGGCCACCATCTCGATGGAGGCCGTCTCCCCGCGGCTCACCGTCACCGTGGGGCGGCTCGGCAGGAAGAAGGCTGCGGTGACACAGTCGGTGGCACGTGGTCAGTGACACACGGTGACTTACGGTGACGCAACACTCTGAAACACCGTGACTCATGGCGACAAATGGCCGCGACACAATGCGACGCGCTATGACGCACAATGACGGTGACACTCGGTGACACAGGCATGCCATTAGACGCCATTATTGCGCTTGTTTTCTCAGGAAATCCTCACCGAGTCTCCTCTTTTGCAGGAGGGTCCTGCCAAGTTTTTGCAATCGGGGGGGCGACGGGTATTGCTCTGTTTCCAAATCGAGTCATTCGTGAGGAATTTTTCAAATTTGGGAAATGTGGACTGTGACGCTGTCACACGATGCCCTGCTCCTCTTCTTTGGTGACGTCGTCACGGGGTCTTTAACGGACGCTGTGAGCTAATACCACACCACCGCAGTATTTACCGGGGCCGCCTACCAGATTCGCACCGCGAACTTCAAATGCCACATCACTGCCCATTGCACTGACACACACCACCCTCCGCGCCACCTCTTCGCTACCCCCAACACCAGCTCTCATCGGTCACTCAGTGGCGGTGACGTCACGATGGTGCTGGTGCCAGGCTAGGTGCAGGTTGTGGCATGTGGAAGGCATCGCCGCTGGCAGGTCACGGGACAGACGCTGTGGGTGTCGCGGCTTGGCCGAGTGACGGGTGGCACCAGCTGAGCTGCCCCGCCTCCCCACTGTGTCCCCGACTCAAAGGCAAAGATCCCCCGTATAGTCTTAAAAAGACTGTCGGAGCAAGTGCTGTTAGCGAGGCAAGGGGTCCAACGCCACGCCCCAGCTACTTTCGTCTCCCCAGTGCTCAGTTCACACAACGCACCACACACTCGTTTAAGGCTGAGTCGACCTAGGTGAGGCCCAGGGACCCAAGGCCGTAGCCATGGAGTCAACATCGGGGGGGACCAAATCTTCCAGGGGGTCTGGGGGTCCCCAACTAAGTAAAATATCTAAATTTTAAAAGTAATTTCCCGCCTAAAATATTTTAAAATTCACTAACACATGGAATGGACTTTTTATTTATGTTTTACAATAATGTCTAATAGTGAATATTGTATTACATTGCTCTGTGTCATTGTATGTAATGGCATAGATTAGGGATTAATAAAGTACAACCATAACCACAATCATATAAACCAAAAATCGATGCATTGTTTTATATGAAGACAAGTCCAGATAGTGTGGCCAAGCTTTAGCAAAGTGTTGTTTTTATTTACATAGCATCGCAATTATTATTTTTATATATTGGGGGGGACATTTTGAGCATATTTGAATATTGGGCGGGGGGTGTGTCCCCCCCCCCCAATATATTATAGTTACGGCCTTGCAGGGATCAGTTCAAATATTCGGCCGCTGTGTTTTAGGCCCTGAGCGAGAATCGAACTCGGTGGCCGGGGTTCGTAAGAGGAGGGATCAGGAGGGGGGGGGATGAGGAGGGGAGGGATGAGGAGGGGGGGTGAGGGAGGGTGAGGGGGGGTGAGGGGGGGGGATGAGGAGGGGGGATGAGGAGGGGGGATGAGGAGGGGGGGGATGAGGAGGGGGGGTGAGGGAGGTGAGGGGGGGTGAGGGGGGGGATGAGGAGGGGAAGGGATCAGGAGGAGGGGGGTGAGGGGGGGGTGAGGGGGGGGGATCAGGAGGAGGGGGGTGAGGGGGGATGAGGGGGGGGAGGGATCAGGAGGAGGGGGGTGAGGGGGGGTGAGGGGGGGGATGAGGAGGGATCAGGAGGAGGGGGGTGAGGGGGGATGAGGGGGGGGAGCGATCAGGAGGAGGGGGGTGAGGGGGGGTGAGGGGGGGATGAGGAGGGGGAGCGATCAGGAGGAGGGGGGTGAGGGGGGATGAGGGGGGGGGATGAGGAGGGGGAGTGAGGGGGGGGGCCGCACCGCGCTCGCTGATCTTGGTGGTCGTCAGCACGGCCATGTCGGCGCCCCGCCGGCTGCTGGCGAGGCAGCTGAAGACGCCGAGTCGCGCCCAGCTGAGCCTGGCGGAGAGCGTGAGGCGCACGGTGTTGACGCGGCGGCTGTCGCGCTGGCTCTCGAGTCGCGGGGCCTGGCGCGCCGCCATCACGGGCTCCAGCTCGCGCGAGAGGCGCAGGTCCACGTCGCGGTCGCCCGCCACGCACAGCAGAGCCGTCTCCTTGTGGTCGCCCACCGTGGGACCGAAGTTGATGAGGGTCACGTCCATGACGCCGCCTGGTGCCGGGCGTCGTCGTCATCATCATCATCATCGCCACCATCACCGGCATCAGCAGCGGTATCACGCGCGCATGGCAGGATCTGCGAGAAGCTTAGCCCAAACTGAACTAATTTTGTGTACTTTACCAGGTAAGGCTCACTGAGCCATATCGCTCAGAAGCGACTTGGCCACAAATGACGGCCCATCGAAGTGGCGTATCATCGTGTGGAAATGTAACGCAGCCAAATAAAACCATCGCTAGAATCATCATCACGACCACATTCGCCACCATCATCATCACCACCACCACCACGGGGGTTGCCGACGTTTACGAAAACAATACCCGGACACATTTCACAGTCGTCGTGAGTCGATTATGAAAACCGCGCAGTTTGCTTGGGATAACGCGCAGTGCTAAACTGGTAGCGGATCTGTGGACAAATCGATTCCTGCCACTCGAACACAGCCCTTGTCCAGGTCCAACCCAAGCAGGTGGGCCAACCATCACTCTCATCATCACGAGCGACGAGAGGCTCACACACAGAGACCCGTGGACTCGCGTGGAGACCACCCGCCTGAGAAGGGCTATGGTGATGCCACCAGTGCAGGACAGGAGGACGAGAGGGAGTCTGGAGATGGGAGAAGGTCGTGGGGCCAGATGAGGACCCCTGTAGGTGACTCGAGCAAAAGTCGCCCAACAACACGAGCCCATGGGGAAAGAAACCCCGTGCGGTAGTGGGACTTTTGGCTTGGAAGAAGATGTAAATGCTATGGGTCTCTATGCAAGTCTATGGATAATATGACTCTATGGGGCTCTGTGTTATGTCTCTAAGTCGAAGTTTTTGGTTACGTATTTGTGTCTGCATGTCTCGTAAGACCACGCGAGTCTGTAGGTCTGTAAGTGCATCTTTACGCATGTCTGTGGGATGTCCCTACGTAACCCAATGAGTGCCTCTAAGGGCGATGTACGTGACTGTAGCGGAGAGACAGAAATAGCAGCACAACGGAGAGAGACAATCCAAGCAGCAGCAGCAGCGGCTGACCCCACACAAGAAGAAGTAGAAGAAGACGGAGTCCATGGATCACCTCGCTGCCCGATCTCTCACCTGGCCCCCCCATGCTGAGGGGCAGCCACAGCAGGCAGCAGCAGGCGAGGCGCAGGGGCCACATCACCAGCGCTACCATCCTCCTTCTTGTCCCTCCTCCCCGAGCGCGGGTCTCGTCTCCGAGCGGTGTGGAGCGGCAGCGTCGCTCAAATTCCTCTCGCGAACAAAATTCTCCTCCCCTGCCCCGCCGCCGCGAGGTGAAATCGAGCGAGGCGCCGTCCCCGAGACCTTCCCGGGCGCCGCAGTGACCACTTGCGGTGGCTGCGTCGCGAGTGAATCGTCAGGGGGTGGCTCTGCGCCTCCAGCCCGGATGACATCAGCCAGCCCGGCCGGGGGGGGGGGGCGGAGTGTGGGGGCCACGGTGCAGGATGCGGGATTGGTGGGGGGTGGTGGGGGTATCGGTCCACGACTTATTTGATCAAAACACAACTCTCTTCCTCTGCACTGATCGCGCTCCCCCCACTGAATCAACGCCCCCTCTCCCGCCCCACCAGGGAGCTGCTGCTGCTGCCGCTGCTGCCCAGGCGTGCGTGGCTCTGTCGGGGGGTGAATGAGCACAACATATTAATAATAAGTCCGTCCACGTAGATAATGTTATTTATTAGTTTTGTTTACGCACGTCCCATCGGCCCACACGTGCACAATATTCAGCAACTTTTTGTTCAACACAAGCGAAACTTGTGCTTGAACAATGAACGTCGTGGAGACTATAACAACACGAGTAAGCAGAGAAAGATAACTGCTTATTGTTATTTGTGTTCTCACCGTATTTATGTATGTATAGTAGTCGATCTATTGGACACACAGCGAGGGTGTTTGCAGATACACGTCTGACATTGTTTAACACTCCTGTGTGCTAAAGCAGAAACAACGTTTGTTAACGTAACGATATTCATCAAGATTGATATTATTTGGATGTCAGGTGCCGAAGGGTGTGCTACAATTCATTTTAACTCACGGCGATGTGACCCAAACATAATAAATAATCTGTCGCGAAAGCCGACGTGACGTGTCGAACGTACGACAGCTCACATTACTGATTCAAGTATGCCGATGAAACATTGCAACGTGACTTTACCGAAAGAACTAAGAATATCGGTTCAGAGCTTTGCTTGTATGTAGAACTTATTTCGCACCGTACGCAGCCAACCGTGCGAATCGGAGTTATTGAACTGCTGCTGCTGCTCACTAACGGCACTGCTGAGAAGGAACCCCACGCGGCTGATTTGTGGCATGGCTGCGCTGCTGTGGACGGCAGTGGCGGAAACAATCGGAATATTTATTTATACTGGAGAAATCTGATGAGCTATAAAGCTCTTTTTCATATGTCCAGTGGGGGCGGGTACGAACGTCACAACAAATCAAAAAAAGACGTGATCGTAGTGCAGAGTACAAGAATGGTAAACAAATCACCCAGATACAACTCAACCATCCCCACCATCCCCGTCATCCTACCAGGCAGAGCCCACTCAGGTACGGGCGGGGGGGGCGTTGGAGGCAGTGCCCCGCCCTCCGCCCCCCTTAGGAAGTTCTGGATCCATCTTTAAAGGACAAATCTAGAAGTGAGGCAGTTCGATGTTGGTTCCCCCTCCTAGACCACATGGTATCACTGTGACTTGCCTCGAAGGTCGTAATAATAACAACAATCCAGAAGTTACGCCTTTATTTATCCAGAAAGGCTTACGACCTTTTTTTGTTCAAGAGGACCCCGCATTGCGATGTTTGTAGTTTACGCTCCCACGGCGGACAGTTCGCAAACACGACACCGACTCGCCTCGCGAGGGCCTTTCTCGTCGTGGCGAGCAGACCTTGACATTGGCATCGAGGCTCTTCCTCAACGCACGGCTTGCCAGCGTGGCGGGCCCAAGACTAATAATCACTCGTGCCATGTTTGAGGCTAATTTCCATTGTTGATGAGCGCGTGTGGCTGGTTTCGCGTTCGTGATAAACCAGAGAACTCAAGATTCAATCAGAATATTTACAGTGGAGGAGTCCGATGAGCTATACAGCTTTTTCACAGAAGTCCAGCAGGGGCAAGGGATCAGAAGGTTACAACAACAACAATACACAAACACGATAGGCGACATGAACCCATAACGCTGGCATACGAGGAGGCGGGGGGGGGGGTGTTGATGGAGACTCAGTGACTGCCATCTCCTGGCCCACAGCTCCTCGCTGCCCCCACGCCTACACCACCTGGCAAGCCGTGGTGGCCACGGAGCCCCACACTGAGGGCGACGGTCGTTGAACACGCAAGGAAGAGGCTGTAGCTGAGCGAGGGGTATGGGACACCAGGCAGAATGAGAACTATGAAGTTCGAATCCTTTGGCTGACAGTCTCTCCACCAAGGGCCACTTCGAATGTACCCGACTCTATACATTGACTTAAAACTTTCGTGACTGCAGGAATTCATATTCTTGGTTCTTTCGGTAAAGTCACGTAGATAGAAAATAAATAAAAATATAAAAAGCTCCGTTTCGCAACGCAAGCGGTCGTCATCAGGCTGCTAATAGCTGTGTGGAAACCCTCCCCGTATAGAGGCGGTTACATCTTGACTTAAAGCTTTCGTGACTGCAGGAATTAATGTTATTTTTGTTATTTTCTTTGAACCTATCTACGTGCCTTTACCGAAAGAACCAAGAATACCCGACTCTATATTTGAAGAGTAAAATGTTCGGCCTTGGCTCGCTCTGGAAGACAGAACGACGCGGACACGCGGGAAGGCGGCGGCAGCAGCAGCAGCTCGTGTTGAGACAATGCCGCGAAGATGCACTCCTAGAAGGGGGTGCGGCCTTTGTATGTGGAGGGACAGCAGACACGATGTGTATTGTCTGCTTATTCATTGTCTCGTAAAGGGAATTGGCTCAATGCTTAATCCCCCTTCCCCCCCCACCATCATAGCCTTACTATCTTCACACGAGCTTCTAAAACCATTCTATTTAAACACTCACGACTCAATGATGTTATCTACTGAACAGCTGGGGCAAGGAGCTGCCAGTGAACCAAGCAGATTGGGCTGATATTTTTAACACTATTCAACAACATAGGCAGTATCACCGAACAATAAGTTATTCAATCTACTGCTGCCCTAAGGAGGGTCACAAGCTTGGAGGAATCATTTACCCTCACCCCTTGCCACCGTAAATGTCCTCGGTCGCTTGGTAAGCACTGACAAAGTCTGCATCAGTGTGTCACGAATTGCTCTTGCTCTGTGTATGTACAGAGGGAAAAAGTATTTGATCCCCTGCTGATTTTGTACGTTTGCCCACTGACAAAGAAATGATCAGTCTATAATTTTAATGGTAGGTTTATTTGAACAGTGAGAGACAGAATAATAACAAGAAAATCCAGGAAAACGCATGTCAATAATGTTATAAATTGATTTGCATTTTAATGAGGGAAATAAGTATTTGACCCCCTCTCAATCAGAATGATTTCTGGCTCCCAGGTGTCTTTTATACAGGTAACGAGCTGAGATTAGGAGCACACTCTTAAAGGGAGTGCTCCTAATCTCAGCTTGTTACCTGTATAAAAGACACCTGTCCACAGAAGCAATCAATCAGATTCCAAACTCTCCACCATGGCCAAGACCAAAGAGCTCTCCAAGGATGTCAGGGACAAGATTGTAGACCTACACAAGGCTGGAATGGGCTACAACACCATTGCCAAGCAGCTTGGCGAGAAGGTGACAACAGTTGGTGTGATTATTCGCAAATGGAAGAACACACAAAATAACTGTCAATCTCCCTCGGCCTGGGGCTCCATGCAAGATCTCACCTCGTGGAGATCTTGTCAATGATCTCAAGACAGCTGGGACCATAGTCACCAAGAAAACAATTGGTAACACACTACGTCGTGAAGGACTGAAATCCTGCAGCGCCCGCAAGGTCCCCCTGCTCAAGAAAGCACATATACATGCCCGTCTGAAGTTTGCCAATGAACATCTGAATGATTCAGAGGACAACTTGGTGAAAGTGTTGTGGTCAGATGAGACCAAAATGGAGCTCTTTGGCATCAACTCAACTCGCCGTGTTTGGAGGAGGAATGCTGCCTATGACACCAAGAACACCATCCCCACCGTCAAATATGGAGGTGGAAACATTATTCTTTGGGGGTGTTTTTCTGCTAAGGGGACAGGACGTCACCGCATCAAAGGGACGATGGACCGGGCCATGTACCATCAAATCTTGGGTGAGAACCTCCTTCCCTCAACCAGGGCATTGAAAATGGGTCGTGGATGGGTATTCCAGCATGACAATGACCCAAAACACACGGCCAAGGCAACAAAGGTGTAGCTCAAGAAGAAGCACATTAAGGTCCTGGAGTGGCCTAGCCAGTCTCCAGACCTTAATCCCATAGAACATCTGTGGAGGGAGCTGAAGGTTTGAGTTGCCAAACGTCAGCCTCGAAACCTTAATGACTTGGAGAAGATCTGCAAAGAGGAGTGGGACAAAATCCCTCCTGAGATGTGTGCAAACCTGGTGGCCAACTACAAGAAACGTCTGACCTCTGTGATTGCCAACAAGGGTTTTGCCACCAAGTACTAAGTCATGTTTTGCAGAGCGGTCAAATACTTATTTCCATCATTTAAATGCAAATCAATTTATAACGTTTTTGACATGTTTTTCTGGATTTTGTTGTTATTATGTCTCTCACTGTTCAAATAAACCTACCATTAAAATTATAGACTGATCATTTCTTTGTCAGTGGGCAAACGTACAAAATCAGCAGGGGATCAAATACTTTTTTTCCCTCACTGTAGGCATCATGACGAATAATAGGGAAATGAAAGCTCGCATGTCATTGAACTGAGAGATAAATGAAACGATACAATTAAATGCAAGCTACAAGGGGCATGGAATCGAACGAGGAAAAACACCGGGCTTTATTTATATTAAATAAAAACAGCAGTTACACACATTTGATAAGGGTTATTTAAAGACCTTGTTGTGGATAGATTTCATGAAAAAGGCATGTCGTATAAGAATGAAGTGCGTCATGTATAAGTCATTATTTCAAATTATAACGCACAGTATTAACTCATTCTCGATTAGAGAACGACTCGGATACGCGAGGAAGAGCCACAGACGAGCGGGAAGGCAGTCACGCGATGAGCCGGCGCCAAGACGCTCTCAAGAATAAACGCACCTGCAGATTCTCAACCCCATCCGCCCCCTCCCTCTGCTCGAGAAAGCACGACCATCGCCAGGTTCTTTCCCCAGACAACCGAAGCGCTGCTTCTGCAGTGCAGGAGGGTGTGGGGTTAAATGTGCTGCACCTGTGCCAGCGCTACAGTGCCAGTTGCACGTCAGCACATTGACAATCAGAATCTTTATTTAGACTGCAGGAATCCGATGAGCTATGAAGCTCTATTTTTCACAGGCGTCCAGTCTGGGCGGATAAATAGGTGTGGCTGACTGCTGATGGGGCTGACGAGTGTCAGAGCAATTTAACTTGTGGGCAGAATGTAGGGTTGCCACTTGCTTCAGGTTTCACCCGGAGAGTCTGGGAATGTATCATCGTGTTCGGGTAGCAGGAATTATAATCCGACTTATAAACGTGTCCGGGTTTGGTCTAAGTGGAAAAGGTATCAGCCCGAGCGCAGTGGCCAATTCTGTGGGCCCTCAGGCTCTGCCGCCCTGCAGGCCCTCCTGGAGCAGCCTGTTGTACCGGGACACCTGCTGCATGACGCTCTTCATCAGGGGCTGGTAGTCGCTCTCCATGCTCTTGGTTGCGATGACTGTTCCGGGAGTCAAGGGAAGCCCAGGGAGATTGCAGCGCAGCGTTCCGGTAATGTGACCGCATTTGTGGCCACACAGGAAGCAATTAAAACACAAGAGTTTCACAACCGTTCGCGACTAGAGGACGGCAGCGGTTGCCGCGCGCACTTTTCCGCGTTTAAGGGCGTACTGCACACGCCACGGGGGTTAAAGGAACGACACGCAAATGAATGCCGCACAAACAGCTGACAGGCACGACTCCCCATCATGCCGTGCGTGCATGTCACATGCACAACGCTCGCAGCCTTGCCCACACATTTTGCCGTTGCGATGAGGTCACTTCCACAAAGGGATGCAGTTGAACACCGTGGATTTCTAATAACTGGTGCTTCTGGGACTGTCAATTCCAGAGCGGCTACGTTGGCCAGTTATCTTCACGTGCGTGCAACACAACACACATTATAGCCTAGTCTACAAACGTGATTATATTCAGCGAATATAAATGCATGTGCCAGTTGTTGGGATGGATTCAGTTGACTAATGTCCCCGAGGACTAAAGACTGAGGAGCCGGGATCAAGGATGGACTGGCAATCACCGGCAATCATTACGGCACACAGCGAGATCTCTCCAGGATTCACAATCCTCCCGTCGTCGGTTACTGTAATGCCACGGGGGAAAAAAAACGCTTTTTGTGTTCAACATTGAAATGATAATATTTACAGTAATGTCACGCATGAACATTTATATTTAAACAACCTTCGCACGTAACCAGCAACGCGTCCCTACTTCCACCCGAATGGTGAATGTCACAAGGCATGGCCGCCACCCGGTGAGGACACAAACCCAAAGGAAACTTAAAAAGTCAACACCAGCACGAGCCGCCGGGCCTGGTGCAACACAAACCAAATCTACTGCAAGGCAGTAGATTTGGTTTGTGGAGCCGTGCGGTTAGAACTTTCCCACGCAAGCCACCACCGCAGGGAGACAGGAAGACAGCGGTGGGCGACGCGCGAGGGAAGGCGAGGGGGCTCAGGATGTCTCTCCACTACTCTCAGAGGAATCTCCGGCAGCTGCGAGGTGTCTAGGTTCCGCCAGAACCTCGACACAACTACGCCGACGTGCCGAGTGGAAAGTGCCTCGGTCTCACGACGGTGATTCCCAACCTGTATGGACCACCGCGCGCCACCGCTGCCAACCCACGAAAGAATCGGTTTGCGCACACCACCGTGCCCCAACAACTATGATTCAAACGTCAAGCTGCTCTCAATGGTAATGTCTGCGACAGCTCCCACTGGTGGTGCCCGCCACCGCCACTCTAAGGCCAAGGATGCATGCAGCAATGGCCATGCAACTTTGCTTCTCTCCATGTGACAAGTAACGTGCAGAGTTTGACCAATGGAACCAGTTGACAGCAGTGGAAATCCACTCGTAAACAAATCGGGCATCTCGTCGCAAATGCCGACGTGCAGAATTATTTTGGGAAGTCACGGTTTTTCAAAGGATGCAGGGGAATGAGGGGAGACAGGATGGGCCCTGCCACTCTTTTGAGCCGATTCCCTGGACATGCCGAGGAAACACACTTTCCTCTCCAGTGCGCAATGGCATTACAATAGACGGCGGCGCATCTTTACGTGCTAATATGTTAAGAAAATAATGTCCACTGTGTTTGTAATTCTCTTTCAGTGTGGGCAGTAAAGGTGCAAGTGTATTCAAAACATCCTCCCATTCTGCACAAAATCAACATTCGGACCCATCCAAACACGGTGAAAAAATTGTAAAAATATTTAGACTTTGAATGAATCATGCATAAATATTTTTCGAAAACTATACAAAGACAAAGATACACCGTATAGCCTTCAACAGGTTATTGGGGAAATTGCTGTTCGTGAGAACCTATGAAGACCGGCAAGGCACAAAATGGAGTAAGTGACCAACACCACACCTGGCCACCTTCCTCTCCCTAGTGCCGATGCTTACACACTCGACTATGTACTCAATTTTAAGGCTGAGTTGACCCAGGGGAGGCCCAGGAACGGTTCAGTTATTCGCCACCATTACTGGCCGTGAGTGGCAATCAAACTAGCGTCGCTGAGTTCATAATGCAGTGCACTGACCACTGTGCCCACTGCTCCCTACAAAACTGTACATAACACAAAAAGACAAAGACAGTCACTGTTCTCTCTGCCTGCTGCACGTAATAGGAATGTCATCTTGTCACCAGTCCCGCATGCTGCAGCCTGGGAAAGCCAGGAAATGGGGTCTCAGACACTCGCTTCCTCTGGAACGGATCCAGCGAAGCGGCGACCAGGGAGGCCACGAGAGACACGACGGAGAGGCACTGGGCTCATCTCGCTGGGCCCCGCACCTGGGCCTGCGAGATGCTTGGCGACAGCTTACACACAACCAAGCTGCTCTTCTTTGACACACGGCACCGCCCAGCCCATTGCAAAACTAAATATAAATGTGGTTGATTAATTGTGCCAGGTCCAGGTGCAATGTGATCCACTGTGTGTAACTCTAAGGGTCGCGATAAGAGTCTATGGGTCTCAATGTGAGTCTGTGGGTCTCAGTGATGAGGAAAAGGATGCTGCTAGCAAATGCGGGATCGCTGCTCTATCCACTCCTGGATGCGATCATCTTGAGCTGAACATTGCCGACTCAAGAGATCACTGAATGGCTCAAGACAATGTACTTGAGTATACTGGATGCTACTTTGTCTTGCCCACATGTAATCGCTGTACATTAAACATAAACTGTGGCCATCGAAATGAGAAAAGACAAATAGGTGCAATAGTCTACAATGGCTACAGAAGAGAGCCCCACTCCAGAGACCCCACAGCTGGTCTTCATGTGCAAAGGATACACTCCTTCATCACAAAATTGTTCTGTTCATGATGCTGCCACTTGCGTTCAAGGTTCGTCAGCTGAAACACAAAAGAATAAATCGCGCAATAATCCACAATGTCGACTGCCCATGAGTGGTGTCTGTACGTGGGAGTGTGAGTGCCGAGTGTGGGTGTCTGTGAGAGTGAGTGGTGTGCAATGGTTTGTCTGTGGTGGAGTGAGTGGTGTACATGGGGTTCTCTGTCGTAGTGTACGTAGTGTGTATGGGTTTCTGTAGTCGAGTGAGTGGTGTGTATGGGTTTCTCTGTGGTAGAGTATGTACAGTATGTATGTTGAACTTATTTCGCACTGTACATAGCCTACTGTGGTAATCGGAGATCCAGTGAGTAGTGCATATGGGTTTATTTGTGAAAGTGAGTGGTGTGTATGTCTTTCTGTAATAGCACAAATTGTACATAGGGGCAACACTGATCGCGTTAAACGTTTCTGTCGGCCAAGTGCAGCTTGGGCTTTATTACAGGAAACACTAACACATCCAAACATGACGTAGCAACCCATGGAAACCCAATCCCAAAAGTTTCCAGTCTTACAGCAGCTGCTACAGTGACACCCGCACGTGCCTAAATGGAATAGACATCGACTCAGTCAAAGTAATTTCCTGTTCCAATGAGCATCGAGGCATTGGTGCTCATCTCCTGTTTACAGCCCTGAGCCAATGGTAGAAATTCCATATTTCTATGACAGGCGTGAGTCTGTCCCTGCGGACAACCACAGTTGACTCCCCCATAAGGTGAGACTGATTTTACCGACCCCGGAGAGATGATGGGCTGAGTCCATTCCCCTTAACCAGGAGCTGAATTCGCAACTTTCAGGCTAGCAAGGCGTGCGCTCTCCCGCACGCAGGGCCGCCACGCTGTGTAGTGGTCAACAAGCGAGAGATAGATTGCGTTCCCTCACTTGGGTTTCCCTGTGCTAGCAGTGATTACTGTCTCTACACCCCATGTGCATTCTCATGTAATCTCACTTCACGGTCGTTAATGTCTCAGAATGATTCAAACACAGACACCCGGGGCCAGGTGGCTCAGTGGTACAAGGTTCGCGACTTTCAATCTTGGTTGGGGGGGTTGACACAGCCCATCACCCCCTACCCCAGTGGTCGCTAAAATGAGTCCTACTTTGTAGGAAAGTCCTATGGATAAATTATCCCTCACTATAGGAATGGACAGACAAGATTAGTAACATACAGACGTTACAGAGAGCAGCAGGTACAAAAACAGAATAAGAATAATTAGAGACAGGCTAGTGAGATTTCTTGGATGTGTAATGAGAAAACAAGAGGATGAATATAATGTTCTGACTGGGAAATTATAGGTACAAGAAGCTGGGGAAGACAGCAAATTAAATTATGTAAAGTGCATAAGCAATTTGAAACAATTGGATGCAAACTGGGATACCTAATGCAACGTTCTTGAGTAATATCATGCACTGAGCTAACGTCTTTTGTGATAGGATATGGCACAAAGGGAGAGATAGGAATTGAAACCACTGTGACTCCGCAGGGCTGAGCACTGCCGCGTTGCTCAATGGAGCAAGGAGTCGCTTGCGTAACAGACGGAATCAGACGCACGAGCACTACCCGTGCGATCTGCCTAGACCGCCGCTATGGGTGGAGCTTCCCCAATGTCATTTGCAACACATCTTTCCATCTTCCTGTTTTGACGTATTTACTCACAGGTCTATTTTTACGGGGAGGGATATAAAGACCCCCATGCTGGGTGTGCCTGTGAAGACGGGATAATTTTTCACGGTGGCATTTATTACAAGAACCAAGACGTTCACGTTTCCAAGCAAAGGCCAATGCGAAATTTGGCAGTGAAAAAGCCAGTGAGACAATGAAACAATTGGAAACATTTGAGGAATGTGCCCGTTAGTTTAAACAGTGGAGAACACACAATATATATTTTTTCCAAAATAAAAATGACCATCGCTGCGTATATCAAAGAACAGAGAACACAGCGTGTGTGTTTCCCAATCTGAGGCCGCAAAGCGACACCTTCCGTCACTGAACACTCGCGACAGTGGGAAAGAGCCTCACAGCTGTATATCGCTGTGGCATGCTGGCAAAAATCTTTACTCTTGCTCAGCTGCAGTCATTAAAATAAATTCCTGTTTTCATTATTTTATGTTTTAATGTCCCTTGAGTGTGACAGCTAGAATGTAAATAAATTACTATAAAGTGATATTTTATATCATTGTGATGAATACATGCACAAAGGCAGTGATTAGCATTGCAGATGTTGGTAATTATTATGCTTGTTTACCCAAGAGAGCCTCACTCAGAGTCCTGCCAAGTTTTTGTAACAGGAGGGAGCAATGGAGCTATGTGTATAATCCTAATTAAGAAATGTCCAAGTAATCTTTCAGCATTGGGATGTTGTGTGGCCAATACCGGCTATATTGTATGGCTTTCCTAGTCATGCAGAACAAGGAGGAAAATGTACAAATTCCACACAGAAATACGCCCAAGTCAGGAATCGAACCCAGGTTCTTTTCAAGTTTACAAGCGTTGCCACCGCGGCGCCACCCTGTCGCCCACTGCACCCTCAGCTGCCGGGGAGCGGCAGCTGAGGGTGCGAGCACCGAGTGAGGTGCGGCACCTGGGCGTGCGTCTCGTTGTCCTGCAGCTGCGCACGTGCCGCCTCCAGCTCGCCGCTCAGCGCCTGCAGCCGCTTGCGGAACGCGTCTCTACGCAGCGCCAGCGTCACCTTCTCCTCCTGCAGCCTCTGTGGGCCGGAATAACACATCCTCCGCTCGACATCCTGCTCACCCTCTTCAACCACAAATTACTCACACCAACACATTCATTCGGATGCATTTCCCATGTTAAAATAGTGTCACGCAATTTATCTCTGTTTTAATATAATAAAATGAATTATTAATTATTTGCCCAGGAAAGTCATACTTGATTTCAGTCATTTTTTTCAAGAGGATCTTGCTACATTGAGATGTTTGGGCAACAACAATCACTGTGTGTGTGTTTTAGCTATAGGAGGGAACTAGAGGACCCAGAGAAACCCCATGTAAGGGGAGAACGTACTCCACACAGAAAATTCCACAGGTCAAGAATAAAACCACAGGTTCTTATATGAATGCTCTAGTGAGTGTTACCACTGTGCCAACCTGCTGCCCCATGTATATGCTGTTGTGTTAATGTTGTTGTGTTAATGTTGTTGTGTTAATGTCTTAATGTTTTTGTGTTAATGTTGTTGTGGTAATGTTGTTGTGTTAATGCTGTTGTGTTAAGGGCAATGTAAAAATGTAGTCTAATAGCTGGTGTCCTTTGCACTGTAGTCAAAGCGACTTCTTGTTCTAATGAGCATTTACCTTGTGCTCATCTCCTGTTCAGTCCTGAGCCAGTGGTGCAAATTCCACATTCCAATGAGTCTATTATTTGGACAACAACTATTGACTACCTCACAAAGTGCTACCTATTTTATTGACCCTGGAGCGATGGTGGGTTAAGTCAACCTTCAACAGAGGACTTTAAACTGCAATCGTGTATAGTGAACTTCTTTCGCATGGTACGTTGCCCACCGTGCTAATCGGAGGTGCCTAACCTTACTGCAAGCCGTCCGTTTTACCGCCGAGCCACCTGACCAGATACTTTGCCATTCAGGTAATACGATGTCCTCAGCTGATACAATTATTTTTGTTTTAGAGAAGACAAACTGGCCAGATGCCTGCTTAGCGATGCAGCGAGCAGCTCGCGATTGGGAAGTTTGCCAACTCCAATCCTTTGACCTGAAACAAAAACTCAACTATTTTATTTTACCAGCTAAGGCTTACTAAGCTGCTATATAGCTCTATTTCAGAAGTGACCTGGCCACAAATGATAGTTCAAAGAATTGGCTTCTCAGTGGAAATTTATAGCAGCCGAAATTTTTAAAATCATGTTTCGAAATGTTGAAGGCAAAAACCGGAGGACCCGGAGAAAAATCCACGTGATCACGGGGAGAACATCCGAACTCCAAATATCCAACAGGCGTCAGGGTCGGGATCGAACCCACGACCTCCTGTATACGAGGCGAAGTAGTTGACATCTCGCTATCGTGGCGAGTCAAACTCGGCTGTGTAGAACCAGTGAGGATGGTAGCAACCCCGTGGGGAGTAATGTGGCAAAATCACGAGTGAGCACACGTGCCTTCTTCTTGTCCTCTCCGGCGGCACGGAGGGCATCCAAGTCACTGTAGACCACCAGCTCCTCCGTCATGCTCCGCTCGCGCTCCTTCAGGGCCTCCAGCTCAGCCTGAATCTTCGTCTCCAGCTGCTTCACCTTTTCCAGGTCCAACTGAAGCCGCTGGCTCTCTTTAGGCAACACGGACACACGAGCACAGACGCATGCACGAAGCAGAGAAGCAGGAAGCAAAGGTAAGAGGTTTCCCAGCATACGCCACAGCTACTGCACTTGAAACGCAAAGCACCTTAAGTCCTTCTCGGCAGGTAAATGTTGGAGTTGGAACACACAGGATCACCAGGAGGTCCTATCATTCAATGTACGTAATCCAGTCAGGTTGATTGTTGATCCAGCCCTCACTGATTCACTCCAGTCATTCGCTCACTGGCGGAGAGTTGTCTCCTTATCGCTTTATCACTCCTACCATGGTTCATGTTTCCGTGCATTCCACCACCCATCTTGCAGACTCAGTTTTACTAGACTGACTGTTTCATCTCAACCACCACACTGCAGGTCACAACAGTCACCCACCCACTCACCACACTGCAGGTCACACCACTCACCCACTCACTCACCAAACTGCAGGTCACAACACTCACTCACGACACTGCAGGTCACAACACTCACCCACTCACCACACTGCAGGTCACAACACTCACTCACTCATCACACTGCAGGTCACAACACTCACTCACCATACTGCAGGTCACAACACTTCTCTCCCCTTCTGCTTTTTCCCCTCGCACTGCTACACTTTGGAATTCCCTCCCACCATTGTCCATTTTCCCCAAGCTCTTATAATAATAACCTTGCCCAATTCAAGAAGTAATAAAACATCTTCACCCTTATCTATTACAACTTTGATAGGGTTGTTTGTTGGTGGCCGATTGATGCTTTGGGCCTTTGTGCTCAGCAACTGTGTTGAGGAGAAGAAAAAGTACCATTTCAGCATTGTCAATGTTCCTCCACCCATTGCTGTGGTTGTGGGTAGTGCAGTGGTTAGCGCGCTGTGCTATGAACCCAGCAACCTAACTTCGAATCCCTCTGACGAATAATAAAAGTGACATAATCTGAACTGGTGCTGGGCCTCCCCTTGGTGGAATCAGCCTTAAATTAGTACCTGGTGCAGTGTGCAAACATCAACACCGGGGGGGACAAATGTGGCCAGGCATCGTGTCGGCCACCCACCCCTTCATAGGTGTGCCGTGCTTGCCTTCATAGGTACTCGCTAAGAGCACTTGCTCCAACAGTCTGTATGAAGGCTATATGGGTGATCTTAGTGTTTTGTGGTTATGATTATGTTTAGGGAGGGGAGATAAGGTTTCTTAAATCTGCTGCTTATAGTCATGGAATACACGAGGTTGCCCATCCATACATTTCATTGACATATGACATAATTTTTGTAGATACTCATTCAGAGATAAAAAAACGTATTTCAATATCTGAAGTTCATTACAGTGGTGGTGTGAAATATATACCAACACTGTATTGTTTGAAATTAACTCTCCGAGCCACCGTGGCGATAACAGCGTTTTCATTTCCGATATCAGCCGAGAGGAGACGGGGGTTACAGGGTTGCTGGGCATGAAAAGCGGTTTAGGGTGACAACTCGGAGGATAAATCAGCGCGGGGCCAGGAGGAACACGCCCTGGAGACGGCACTGCGCAGCAGGTAAAGGCCCCCACCGACAAACCAACTCCCAGGCGAGCAGCAGGCTGGCCAAATATTCCACGTCGTAGCATCCAACTCCGATTAGCACAGTTGGCAACGTACGGTGCGAAATATGTTTAACATACATGCATATGTGGTACACTGTGATATAAATCCGGCCACCTGAGTTCGATTCCCGGCCATGACTATTGTCAATAGCGAGTGAAATCTTAACCAGTCCCAGGGTTCTCCGACTTCACCTCCGCACTGACCAGCATGGTGAAGTATGGTCAAACAACACCCATTAACCGACATCGCATGAGGAAGGGCCTTCATGGTGGATTGACGAAAGGCTGAAAATGAAATAAGTTATTCAATACAATAACCTAACGGTTAATGGATGTATGCAGTGTGAATGCTAACGTGTGGAACATCCTAATGAACCAGGTCTTGTCTGGCCGTGGCCCACGGTGGCTATGGGGTCAACACACAGGCCCCGCTCGTGTTTCAACACAAATGATGCGGTGCCCAACCTCCAGACAGGCCGTGAGCCGTCACTTCCGACTTCTTCATCTCCGTCTCCTTGAAGGTCAAGTCCTCCTGCATGGTTCTAAGCTCCTGGGCTGACACGTTGGAGATCTGCTTGCTCCTGCCCATGCTCTGCATCAACCACCAACAAATAACACATTCTCGTGACACGTTTCCATTGTAAATAAGCAAAAATGCCTCCTCCTTCCCATATCCCCCATATGCATCTCTCCAAAGTCTTTTATTTTACACATCCCATTAGCCACACGACCTTCTGGGAGTGCATCATTTTAGCCATCATTGATTATGTTGCATTTTATTTCCATAGTACTAAAACCATTTAAATGTCAAGAACGAAACATTGTACAACGTTTGTGATTCAACATCACAGCAGAGGGTTTGAACTCTACCCCACGGGACACACACATATATTGTCCAGGAATCTTGAGGGACACTGTATTTCTGTGACAATAACTTTCCCCTGCATCACAGCGAGCTCGACAGTAAATTAATGCGCACCGCTCCGCCGTTACATTTGCAGTTGAAGCAGTTGCCCTTAGCAAGTGATTTAATATGAAATAGCCCTTGGCTGAGCCCTCCGGCATGAGTGGGCTTTGCCGAGCACACTCTCTGCTTGAAGTGCTCGGAACAATCGCAGGATGTTTACTCTGTGCCACAGCCTGCGGTGTGACAGGAGCCCCACTCACTCGGGCTTACAGTATCAGCAGGAATGGATGGAGGTTTATTTCGACTACAAGAATCTTTTGCAATGTCGGCGTTTTTCTTTATTTTTCGTTCAAATTCGCTGCTTTTCTCCGGAGCGTACTCTTTAGCGCCAAGTACAGCGGCTTTGCGCACTACGTGCTGTGTAACATAACGGATAAAAAAACGTGGACTTTAACGAAGAACATGGAACAAAAAAAGTTCTTAAAGAAGCGTGTAAGAATGCATGCTTGAAGTTACGGGGACATCATTAGATTGACTGTTAATAAAAGTTGAAGGTGCTTGGTCAGGACGCGTCACAGCGAGCAGGGACAATGGTGGGCGGTGGTCAAGACTGAGGACGGAGCGGCAGCCAATGGGGAAAACAGCGCTCGGACGGGCGCCAAGGAGATGAAGTGATGAAATCTAGGTGCAGGTGCTGGGCGGATTGTGACACCTCAGGATCATATGGGATGGCAGCAACCTGGAGATGCCTTCATTCAGCAGTTGATTGATGATTTTGGATGTTAATGACAATGACGGTGTTCTGCCTATGTTGTAACATTATAACGAACTGCAATGATGCGAGCAGCTGATGTGGTAGCAACGGTACAATGGACATACTGCTGATGACATCAGAGATGGCAAAACAACTGTCGCAGGTGACAGCACAGGTAAGTGATACAATACCAAGGGTGGCAGCGCCACACTGATCGGAAGCACTCATCCTGTGAGGAGTGAGCTCAGTTGTTGTGGCAACCACCTCCCATGCACCACCACGCACCCCTCCAGGCACCCCCACCACGCACCCCCCCATGCACCCTCTCCACGCACCCTGCTGATGCTCTCCAACAAGGACACAATGGCGGCCTCCAGCTCCGCCTTCCTCTCCACCTCTTGCCGGCGGTTCTCCTCAAATGCCGATAAGAATTCTGAAGGTGTGCGGAGAAAACAGAAGCATGGCCACCACCGTCAGCACGGACATTCAGTAACCAGTCAAACGAAAAGTCAAAGTGAGTTTGAGCTCGTATGCGCATTGAGGCATCGGTGCTCATATTCTATTAACAGCCATGCAGAGCCCGTGGTGGAAATCTAACGTGAATCTATCAGTAGGACAACCACAATGTTAACTTCCCCGCAGTGTGCTCATCATTTTATCTATCCCCAGGGGGGGGCGATAGGCTGAGGATTTTAATTTCTCAACCTAGCGAGCCACTCTCATTACCACTGAGCAGCCACCTGGCCAGACAGCAGGGACCGTGAATCATTAACGCCATTTTACTTTACTGCCGAGATTAAGAATGGATTAAAAATGACTAAACCACCTTGAAAAACAATACACGTACAACACAAAACGTACCAACAAAAATAAAAAAAATACGACATCGACATGGTTTCTGGGAATTACATTACTATCCAGTATTTGATATCTACTGCGTCGTTAAACCGGCCGGGTCGCTCAGAGGCAGAGCGAGTGAGCCAACGGCTCAAAATCAGAAGGCTTCAAGTTCAAATCCTGGTTAGGGAGGGGGTTGACTCAACCCATCACACCCCATGGGGTCGATAAAATTACTACCACTGCATGGGGGACGTCACCGGCGCTTGTTTTATGGACAGACTCGCCCCCTGCCATTTGGATGTGGAATTTCCACCACTGGCTCAGGGCTGTAAAGAGGAAGTAGACGAGGGGAGAGGAAAAAACACTTATTTTTTTTACTTATTTTACAAGAATCGCACTTTCAAAAGAACCCCCCCCCCCCCCCCAAAGATAGCACCTTCCAAAATAAGAAAACACACATGAGCGCTTCATGCAGCCCACGGACAGAAAACACTCGAGCAGAGAGGAGTCGCACGTACAGCCAGGTCCAGAGGGACGTGGGGGCCTCTCCGCCTGACACCCGTGAGCGATTCGTATCCCAGAAAATTCAGGGATATGACCTATTCACAAGCGGCATATTTTCCATATTTGATAAAGCAAAGTAATTTGTAATATACATGGGAACATTGCTCAAAATATTACAGTGGCGACTCTAAGTAAATTTACGCGATCTAACCCAAAAACCTCTATTATGGATCTAAATGGCTATAAACATGCCCGCTCATCAGACAGGAAAAGTACAAGGATAGATTCCTCTAAGCCAGATATTCACAACTTACCATCCATGCTTTCTTCCCTCTTCTTAAGCTCTTTATACTTCTGATTGCGTTCACCTTTATATAAAAAAACACACACACCGACACATATGTAAATGGGAAATTTAAATGTAAAAGCACAGAAAGCATTTGTTTCACTACCCGATCATTAATATTCAATTGAAAGCACCTTGATTCATAACTGGTTTCTTTTAGTTGGGCGGTGATGGCTATGCAAGTGGCTTGTAATCCAGGCCACTATGGAGGCAGCTTGTAACCCTTGCTTGCCAGAAGAATGCACTACAACAAAAATGTGGACCCCACCTGTTGTCTGTACGGGATAATGTTTTTCCCTTGCACTTGTGGGTTTTCTCCTGGCTCTCCGGTTTCCTCTCGCTCATTAATTGGGCGATAACACCTAATATATATAGGGGACCGCAAAGCTTCGGAAACTGTTGGCACCGGCTTACGGCATTGGCTGCCTTCCCGCTTTGTCTGCGGTTCCTCGCGCTTCTGAGTCGCTCTCCTTACGAGAGAGTGAATACTGTGCGCATTTAAATTATTCTTATTTTGGGTCACATTATGTAGATACAATATACATTTCTGTAAGAATAACCCTCCAGCACCTGACAGAGCCAATCATATGAAGTTGTCACATCATGAGCAAATGTGCCAATTGATTGTTTTTTTTTCATCAAACCGGAGGAATATTAAAAAGGAAGGAGTTTGACAAAGAATCTTACCTTCTACATTGGTTAGGAATGAAAAGACAAAACCATGCAAAGAGAGGTTAAAATGTAGAGCTCTTGTGGGATAGACAGAAACACAAAAATATGAAAGGAAAACATCGGACGGGAATCATCTTCAACTCTGAACTATTCGGGGCAACGAGAGGAGTGTAAGGGGGGGGAGTTACCCAGATAAACAAAAACAGGGATTATTCCAAAACGTGTTTAAGTGTTTGCTATCAAGTATATGTATCGTTTAAGTACGTAAAACAGAGATCAAGTCCCTTTCAAACCCCCTCTCTACGTCTGGGACATGCAGGCCCAGTGTCCCGGGGACACCCAACCTCGGCACAGCGCGTCGTCACGCTCCCCCCATAAGTTAGTGCTTGACCCCTTTACACCCCATCCCTCCCTCTGTCTCCCCACCCTTCTTCTTGTTTATAAAAAAAAAGAAAATAACCCAGCCAACACTGTCGAAATTCAAACAATAGGCTCTATAATTAAGGATGCACACAATCTGCAACCCCGGGGCGATATGTTTATTGTTAGAAATGCTACCGTGTGTCGGAAAACATGAATGAAATAAATTTACAACAAATAAATGAATAAACAGATTGTGATGTACTGTACACCACAAGCAAATACTTGGCTGGACCCTCCTGAAAAAATATTCTTGAGGTTTTCCTGGGTAAACAAGCATAATAATAATAATAAAAAATACGTTTTATATTTCTTCAAGTTAGCAGTTTACTTGGCCGAAATGCTTGTGGTCCCATTAGCACTGCCGGCCACTTCACCCGCGACGAGTGAGGAGTGGGCTAATAAGGAGACCAGTTCTTGCACAGGGATGTTAATTATTTATTTTCAAGCACGGTTAATCCGCAAACCCAGGTAATCTGCCCTTGGATAACCACGAGTGACATGCAACGCATGTGTGTGTGTGCAGGTGCCACTGCTGTAGTGTTCTTTACCCTGGTGTTCCTCCATGTCATTCTCCAATTGCCCAATCTCCTCATTCAGGTGGCCGATTTTTTCCTTCACTTCTGACAACCTGACGCATGTGAAATTCATTTTTTACAATAGAGTACAATTTTGTCGAAAAATTCAGCGCGCACTGCGGACATTGCAGGGCATGCATCATTCACTGCGGTACGATCAGATGAATTTGAAACAATTTGGGAAGCAATTCAATAACCTTTTTATAAATATCTTATTTGTATTGCCTCCTTTATATTAGCCATCTCATATGTTCCACCTAGTTTCCACCATTAGCATAATTGTTACAATCGGCATACAATTTACAGAAATCCCAGAATATACATATGTACTTTCAACCACAGTGCAATCCATACAATGGGGTGCAAGATTCTCGATTCAAATCGATGAATTGTTACACTGCTAAGTCCATCAGTCATATACCAGTCCATTATATGACTATGATTGTTGTTGTTGCAAGTGAAACGTTGCGCTGGAGAAGTGGTTACTCTTGTTTAGATATTGCCGAACAAGTTCAACAGCACGAACCCCTGATGAAAGGAAACTGCTCTTACTGTCTGTCCATGCTGGCTATTTCTTGGTTGTCTTCCTTAACCTGACAAATGACACATTGATCACATAATAAAATAAACTTTCATTACCTGACAAACTACATTCAAAATAATCACACAATATACATCTCCTCCTTTCCACATTTGTCTCGCCATAGAGAAAATAAGACTTTCATTACACAGGTCCCCTCTGCCACATGATTTTCTCAGAGTACATATTTTTAAAGTTTCATTTTAATAGAAGCAAACTCTGGACCGGTTTTGACATGCAGTGTTTGACATGCAAAGTCTCATCCGCAGTCGGACTTGCTTAAACGAGTCAATGATTGGTGAACTGGTAGATGTTTATAGGCAAGGACCCTGTCTATTGGGATGTGGGTCTTAGTTCGATGCAAAATTATATAATAAATACAAAAACAGTATTAGCATCATTGTGCAGACATTGATTTGTTACTCTCTCTGCGGCCAGGTGGTTCAATTCAGGAGGTTGCGAGTTCAATTCCTGGTTGGGCTGTTGACTCAGCCCATCATCCCTCCCTCCAGGGTCTATAAAATTAGCACCACTTTGGGGAAGTCACCAGCGGTTGTCCTATACAGACTCATCCCCATCATAGGAACGTGGAATTTCCACCACTGGCTCAGGGCTGTAAACGAGAGAGGGGCACCTCAATGTTCATTTGAGAAATAAATCACTCAGACTTTGGCTTTGGTTACACACAGACAAAGATCCCCCATATAGCCTTAACAGACTGTTGCGGCACGTGCTGTCAGCGAGCACACACGCAAATACAGATAATTAATTAATTAATGCTCAATGAACCGCACCTGCTTGAGCAGTCGCTCTCTCTCCTCCTCGGGGGTCAGCATGGCCTGATCCTCGGCCTGCATCTGATTGCGCTTCGCCTCCACCTCCCGCAGCTTCCCGTACAACGCCACGCACTCCAACTTCAGGGGGGTGTTTGCCATGCTCTGTCACACAAAAAACAAAGGCAAAGATCCCCCGTATACTCTTTGCCTTAATAGACTGTTCGGGCAAGTACTGTTGCGAGTAGCACCTATGAAGGCCGGCACAAGCACACAAAGGAGTAGGTGGCCATCACCATGTCCGGCCGTCTTTGTCTCCCCAGTGGTGATGTTAACACATCGCACCAAGTACTCATTTGAGGCCGAGGCAACCTAGGGGAGGCCCAGAACTTATTCAGATAATCGTCACTGGTGTTGGCCACGAGCAGGAATCGAACTCTGGTTATCGGGTTCGTAGCGCAGCATGAAAACCATTGCATTACCACTCCCCATTCTGTCTCACACACAGACATCAGATATATGGACTCATACTACAACAGCAGCTATTCACCACCAAGTGGTGGTGACATGAGCACAGCGCCTTTGCCAGACTAGGTGCACTGTGAGGCTGTTGCGTGGAGTGTGGAAGGCTCCTTGGCAGGTCAAGGTACAGACGGAGGAGTTATGACTGCACCACCTGTGCTCCCTCCTGTGCCAACTTGCTGTGTTTTAGACCCCTGGCGCTCCATTCGTTGAACGTCACTCCTTTGCCCCCCGCTGTTGTTGGAGGGCGAATCTTCCAACTGCCCATTAGTGCCCTCCACAAACAAGCCTCCTTCAGAGAGGCTGATCTCGACAACGCTGATACCAGTCATCGGCACAAGTCTAATCAGCCCCACATCGTGTGTCGCGCCTATTTAGCACCCCCTATCTGATCAAACAGAAGCTGCTTGGGCTTGGGATGGCTGGGCAAGTGGGCGACATGACCCAACCAATGCAGCCTCGCCTGCTGGAGGAGCTCACTGATGTCAAGACCTTTCAAAGGTTTGTGAGCTCCTCAGACAATCCGGCCTGGTTAAACCCAGGATGAATCGCAGGTAGGCCAGCCTGAATGTTGCAAGCTGTTCCTCTAAAGTAGTCCACATTTTTCTAACATAAGAAGAGAGGGAATAACTGTGGCTGAGAAGACCCTGAGCCTCGTATGGAGCAATAGGCCAGGGAGCTTCCACACAGCATTACATAGGAAATGAAAAGATGCGATCCCGATTGATTCGAAGTGAAAACGGAGCTGATCATAAGCACACTGTCCAGGTATGGGAAATCCTCTACTCTCTCCACAACAGCCCCGTTTATACTGGAAAAAACACATGACTGTGGTGATGGGACTTGAAAAGACGTTTAACAATTTTGAACACGTATACAGAACCTCATAAATATCTATCAAAGTAGGTTTCGGCTCTTTTTCATAAATAAGTTACATTTTTATTTCTAGTCTGGACTGGTTTTGCATTCCGGTTCGCACTTAATTCTCAATGAGAATAACTTTGCCCATCATTGCAATCTCCTAAATTGTGACTGTTTCCTTCCATTGTCGATACGAAGAAGTACACACTGGGTTTGTTTTTAAAGGCATTTCTGCTCCGGCCCTCACACTGCTCCCACTTTGGAATCCCCTCCCAATGTCGGCTCAATTCCCCAAGCTATTCACAATAGTTATAATAATATTGCTCAATTCAAGAAACGTGTTACACTCTTATAGATCTTTCACAACTTCCACAAGTGCTGTTTGTTGCTGGTGGGCCGCTTGATGTTTTGGGCCTTCGGGACCTGTGCTGAGCAACTGTGTAAAAAAATATATACTGAGACGATACCACAAAATCTATAGTCAAATCCACATTTAAATGTCCATTAAAATTACTATGTTATGGCTTTGACATTCTTCGAAGCAGCTGGTAAACCATCAACCGCACCAGAACATCTCCAGGCCGATGTTGCACATCTCCTTCATGAATGTAATATTAAAGACAATCCACAGTCGCGCGACTGTGGATATGCAACCAAAACTATGCACCATATCGTAAACCACTGTCGCCTGCTCTCCTGCAATGAAGAAGTAGAAAAACGACACGAACTTTCTGCTGAAGCCATCTCGTGGCTAATAGACCTCAATAACAGGTCCCTGCAGGGTGGGCTGGTAGAAGTTCGCAAAGGAGATAATGTGACTTCCAAATGTTGGGTGCAATAAGACATATCAAGTCTCTGCGCTGTCTATTGCTGATTTTACACCCAACAGCACGAGAGTAAGCGACCTCTGCCTCACTGAGGGTTGGTAAACCCAGCTTGGAGTAGGTTACTCGGATATACTTACCCGTTGCTATTGACTACGTTCTGTAGGTAACCGACCAACCCTTCCTCTGGGGGTTAGCTTGAATTACAATGTGCCATTTTATTTACCGTTTGTTGAAACGGGATGAGTGGTTGCTGACAACAGGCCGAAAGGCCCACAGTGTCAAGCAGCCAACAACAAACGGGACCGTCAAAGTTATTATAGGTAAGAGACAACAAGGTTCTTGAATTATAAGAACTTGGGGGAAAATAGATGATGGGAGGGAATGCCAAAGTTAAGTAGCATGAGGTAAGAAGCAGAAAGAAAAATAATAACCTCCATTTTATAAAGCGCCTTCATATTGAAGTATCTCAAAGCGCTGGACATACAAATAAAACTACACTCACAAATATAGATCAAATATAAGGGAAATAGAAAGCTGATAATAATAATATCAATGACTACTCTCGAAATTCCAATGAAATGAACTATGAAAAAAGCTGTTAATATTTGCAGATTGATCCAATCAGACAACAAATTGGGTTTTTAAATCTTATGTTACAAGGAAATCCTGTACAAATAGCTGCATTTTAGGACATAATTGAGAAAGTGAAACACTCAGAATCCCTAACGAGCCGAGGAATGTTGTTATGAGTGAGCAAGCGAGTGGGTGGGTGATCAGGATGAGTTGTCGTGATCTGTCGGAGTATTTTAACAGTGTGGATGACATGAAAGTCATCCAGAGTCCTGAACATTGTTGGCAGAATCAACAAGTGACGTTCACGGAAGAGTAACCTACTAATCTTATCTTACATAGATTTATACTGCGCCTTATTCCAAGGCACTTTACAAGAATTATACAATTGTAGATAAGATAGTGCTTGCAATAAAGAGTGGGGTGATTAAAAGTGATGTAGTTATGGTGACAGTAGAATATGTGGGAGTGCTTTGAGGAGGGGTTGGGGTATGGGTAGTGATAGGGGTAGTGACAGGGGTTGGGGTAGTTATAGGGGGAGGGGTAAGTGATAGGGGTATGGGTAGTGATAGGGGTAGTGACAGGGGTTGGGGTAGTTATAGGGGGAGGGGTAAGTGATAGGGGTTGGGGTAGTAATAGGGGTAGGGGTAAGTGATAGGGGTTGGGGTAGATATGGGTAGGGGAAAGTGATAGGGGTTGGGGTAGTTATAGGGGGAGGGGTAAGTGATAGGGGTATGGGTAGTGATAGGGGTAGTGACAGGGGTTGGGGTAGTGATATGGGTAGGGGAAAGTGATAGGGGTTGGGGTAGTAATAGGAGTAGGGGTAAGTGATAGGGGTTGGGGTAATGATATGGGTAGGGGAAAGTGATAGGGGTTGGGGTAGTAATAGGGGTAGGGGTAAGTGATAGGGGTTGGGGTAATGATATGGGTAGGGGAAAGTGATAGTGGTTGGGGTAGTTATAGGGGGAGGGGTAAGTGATAGGGGTATGGGTAGTGATAGGGGTAGTGACAGGGGTTGGGGTAGTTATAGGGGGAGGGGTAAGTGATAGGGGTTGGGGTAGTAATAGGGGTAGGGGTAAGTGATAGGGGTTGGGGTAGTGATATGGGTAGGGGAAAGTGATAGGGGTTGGGGTAGTAATAGGGGTAGGGGTAAATTATAGGAGTTGGGGTAGTAATAGCGGTAGGGGAAAGTGATAGTGGTTGGGGTAGTAATAGGGGTTAGGGGTAAGTGATAGGGGTTGGGGTACTTATAGGGGGAGGGGTAAGTGATAGGGGTTGGGGTAGTAATAGGGGTAGGGGTAAGTGACAGGGGTTGGGGTAGTTATAGGGGGAGGGGTAAATGATAGGGGTATGGGTAGTGATAGGGGTAGTGACAGGGGTTGGGGTAGTTATAGGGGGAGGGTTAAGTGATAGGGGTTGGGGTAGTAATAGGGGTAGGGGTAAGTGATAGGGGTTGGGGTAGTGATATGGGTAGGGGAAAGTGATAGGGGTTGGGGTAGTAATAGGGGTAGGGGTAAATTATAGGAGTTGGGGTAGTAATACCGGTAGGGGAAAGTGATAGTGGTTGGGGTAGTAATAGGGGTTAGGGGTGATAGGGGTTGGGGTAGTGACAGGGGTTGTGGTAGTTATAGGGGTAGGAGTAAGTGATAGGTGTTGGGGTAGGACTGGTCGTAGCTGGGGGGTGGGGGTTAGGGAGTAGCAGTAACTTCCGATTAGCATCACTGGCTACGTACAATGCGAAAGAAAGTTCAACATACATATGTAAGGACAGTACGGGGCCTAGTGGCCGTAAATAATGATTGCAGCGATGAGGACAGGCAGGGTCAAGTGAGGTGACTGGCTGAGGAGTCAACGCGGGGGTAAAGATGGAACCCCCGGGGTGTTATCGTGAGGCAAAGGAGAGAGTTGGGATAAGGGGCATGGCAGAGCCGAGGGGAAATAAATACAGCGCGGAGGGAGGCTCGAGGCGGCTCTGGGGAATCGTAGTCCGGACAGTCGTCGCTGTCATCACGGTGGATCGCCCTCATCGTCTTGGAAGGCTCGGGAAGAAGTGATATATCTTCGCCGTGGTTATGACATCGACGGCTCCTATATAGCAGTCAGTCAGCTATATAGTGAACGTCGTGTAGCAGCTACATAGAGTCACCCAGCTGTATATAGTCAACCTGCATCCACCTGATAACATGCCATCGAGTCGAGTGGACTGTACTGTATAATAAATATATAACTTAAGCAAGACGGCGTCTCTGAGTGCTACATTACACATACATGGGCAAGGGAGAAGAGATGGGTTGTTTTAAAGGAGGAACGGAAGCAGTTTAGTGTAGAGGATTGTCTCATGTGCGTGATAGTTAGTCAGGATAAATCAGTGGGTGCTCACCTGGATTAAATAAAGGATATACACACACATACTTGTTGGTAACGTTACCTGAACATTCGTACTCAACAAGAGAAAACAACAAATGCGCATAAGATACGCATAAGTTTTCCTCCGTAAGATTAGAGCGCGCTAACAATTGTGCGTTGGCCACTACTGTACTCACTGTGGGCACGTTGCGGTGACACGGTAAGAATTACGTCTACACCGGGCAGGTACAAGAGTTACAAGGTGCCAAGTGGTCAAGGTGAATAACTAACCGCTTCTAAAGATGCTTTCTTCGCAGAGAGGTCATCCAACTCTTGCTGTTTGGCCTCAAGCTCCTGCAAGAAACAAACATAAAGCACATCAGCATTAAGCCCGTCATGTACACGCGACTGTAACTCGTTGTGCTATTATGCCTTCTAAGTTCTTTATTTCTCGACACCATAAGCCTTCAAGTGCAAAAATACAATATTATACAAAATCTCAACCATCACAATAATCAAGTATTCTCAGTGATCATTATCAAACATGTTTTATCCACTGCTGGAGGAAGCCTCTCCACATCACAGTTCCGTGATGCCACAACCCATCTTGCTCCCGCACATGGGCTGATATCGTTCCGTCTACTCGATTGGCCGTCCTCTAGGGGGAGGTTCCCTCCTTCAGCTGGCATTCTGTCACCAGCCTTGTCCCCATCGGCCATCATCCCTTCTTGCAACATGTCCTGCCCAACCACGCTTACTTTATTGAAGTGTCAATGTGATTGGAGTTTGATCTGATGAATGTGCTAGCTCTCAGTATTTTAGTGTAATTCCAAGCATGTATCTGTCCAATGCTTTCTTCACCACTTCTCAGCTTTGTTTGATTTTATTTGTTAGTGTCGACGTTTATAATCTGTCATAAATACAAGGTAGACAAGCAGAGCCACAAAAGGAGCAGCGCACGCAAACCGGGATGTGAGATACTCTACTCACGTACTCACGCACACAATCACGATGGTTCCACACATAAAGCCAAGTCAAAGTGATTTCCTGCTCAAGTGAGCATTGAAGCATTGGTGCTCATCTCCTGTTTACAGCCCTCAGCCAGTGGTATAAATTCAACATTACATTGGCAGGGGTGAGTCTATCCATAACGTTATTGTTTTATTGATCCAGGAAGGATGGATGACGAGTTGAGTCAACCCCACAACCTGGATTTTAAATCCTCAACCTAACGGTTGCGAGCCGCTCGCCTTACCGCTGAGCCACGAGGCCAGTTTTACGCAGGGCACAAACCGCCGTAATTCACATGCGTGGCAGCCTTAATGGGTCACACGTGAGGCACAAGTGCCCCGTTTGCCTTGGTGAGCTGTGGATCAGGAAATAATGGCGGCGGAGGGAGGAAGTGGCCCTCGCCAGGGGTCAGGCAGAGAGAGGAAGGTGCCGAGAGGCAGGATTTGCAGGCCCGTGTGGAATTTTGTCCCCAAGGTTTCCCCTCAGTGTTTGCTGAGATGAACTCTTTCCTCCTCTACTGTCGGACAGAGATATTCAGTGCTTCCTTCCACCGCATTGTCTGCACCTTCCTTTCAGCTACAACTTTCTTCACAGCCCATACCCAAGCCACCCAACTCTGTTCACGGAGAGCTTTCTCCCAGCGCGTTAAATGCAACAACAAAAAACGCACTTCCCTTGCAGCGTTATTACACTCAGCGGTGTATACCACCAACAAAGAAATTAGTAATTCCACCACTCACCGTTCAAATACTGTATTATGTATGAAAGGAAAAGCCAAGGCTACGTTGGCACATCTCATTTTCCTGCAAGTTTATCAGCGGGAGTGATGCATGGGTGGTGAAACATGCCCCACCCTGTGGGTGCAGCAGAGTTCGTGTACAACTCACCCGCCTGTCTGCACGCCACGGCAAACCCATTCTTTCAAAATTCCAAGCCCGAGGCTATAAAACTAAACTATAAACTATTTTAATTTTACCAGCTATATACCTATTTTTCAGAATCGACCTGGCCACAAATGATAGCCCAATGAAGTGGCTTATCACATGGAAATATAAAGCAGCCAAATAATTGAGAGGAACAAGAATAACTTTAATCGCTCTGACAGCTACAGGCTTAGTGCGGCCTGGAAGCGTATTATTCAATAATACACATTACATTTTGATTTAAAGAATTACTAATCTACAACTCATTACTAATCATAACCAATGACTGATTACTAATCGATTATATAATTACAATACCCCCCCCTCCGCCTCTAATCACTGCACCTGATATGAGTTAAGTGATGACGTCACCCTGCTGCTCTATATAAAACCGGGAGCAAGCGAGGGCTTTACCATTCTGGCGAATTGCCCGATGATGCTGGATGTATTTACCAGCGAAACGTCGTACTCAAACTGTAAATGTGGATTCACTCTTCAACACACCGGTGGGCTAAAGTAGTGAATTATTTGTCTTTTTGTCAACGTGACACTTTTTTTGCTGATTGGCCGTGTCAGGTGGTGGAGGGTTACGACACATTTATAAATAAACGCGATCCAACCCAAAAACCATTATTATGAATAATATTGGTCGCGAAAGCCTACATGTTAAACCAAATAATATAAATGCACGTTTCTACTCTGTTCACAATACACAGGAATACTTGTGACTAACATATAAAAAAAAATGTGTGGACATATGTTGAATGCGCATGTTTGGTTTCAGTTTTCCACGAGCCTAGTGATCAAGGGGAACAACTTACACCACCAGATGGTGGTAGGCTGTCAGGGTAAATGTTGGAAATCGCTGTATGTCGACCGTGCGGCAGCTGAGGGATCTGCGTGGAGGGTGGAACGCGTTGATGACATCTCGATCTACAGTGAGGGAAAAAAATATTTGATCCCGTGCTGATTTTGTACGTTTGCCCACTGACAAAGAAATGATCAGTCTATAATTTTTATGGTAGGTTTATTTGAAGAGTGAGAGACAAAATAACAACAAAAAATCCAGAAAAACGCATGTCAAAAATGTTATAAATTGATTTGCATTTTAATGAGGGAAATAAGTATTTGACCCCTCTGCAAAACATGACTTAGTACTTGGTGGCAAAACCCTTGTTGGCAATCACAGAGGTCAGACGTTTCTTGAATTTGGCCACCAGGTTTGCACACATCTCAGGAGGGATTTTGTCCCACTCCTCTTTGCAAATGTTCTCCAAGTCATTAAGGTTTCGAGGCTGACGTTTGGCAACTCAAACCTTCAGCTCCCTCCACAGATTTTCTATGGGATTAAGGTCTGGAGACTGGCTAGGCCACTCCAGGACCTTAATGTGCTTCTTCTTGAGCCACTCCTTTGTTGCCTTGGCCGTGTGTTTTGGGTCATTGTCATGCTGGAATACCCATCCACGACCTATTTTCAATGCCCTGGCTTAGGGAAGGAGGTTCTCACCCAAGATTTGATGGTACATGGCCCCATCCATCGTCCCTTTAATGCGGTAACGTTGTCCTGTCCCCTTAGCAGAAAACACCCCCAAAGCATAATGTTTCCACCTCCATGTTTGATGGTGGGGATGGTTTTCTTGGGGTCATAGGCAGCATTCCTCCTCCTCCAAACACGGCGAGTTGAGTTGATGCCAAAGAGCTCCATTTTGGTCTCATCTGACCACAACACTTTCACCGAGTTGTCCTCTGAATAATTCAGATGTTCATTGGCAAACTTTAGACGGGCATGTACATGTGCTTTCTTGAGCAGGGGGACCTTGCGGGTGATGCAGGATTTCAGTCCTTCACGGCGTAGTGTGTTACCAATTGTTTTCTTGGTGACTATGGTCCCAGCTGCCTTGAGATCATTGACAAGATCCTCCCGTGTAGTTCTGGGCTGATTCCTCACCGTTCTCATGATCATTGCAACTCCACGAGGTGAGATCTTGCATGGAGCGCCAGGCCGAGGGAGATTGACAGTTCTTTTGTGTTTCTTCCATTTGCGAATAATCGCACCAACTGTTGTCACCTTCTCACCAAGCTGCTTGGCAATGGTCTTGTAGCCCTTTCCAGCCTTGTGTAGGTCTACAATCTTGTCCCTGACATCCTTGGAGAGCTCTTTGGTCTTGGCCATGGTGGAGAGTTTAGAATCTGATTGATTGATTGAATGCTTCTGTGGACAGGTGCCTTTTATACAGGTAACAAGCTGAGATTAGGAGCACTCCCTTTAAGAGTGTGCTCCTAATTTCAGCTCGTTACCTGTATAAAAGACACCTGGGAGCCAGAAATCTTTCTGATTGAGAGGGGGTCAAATACTTATTTCCCTCATTAAAATGCAAATCAATTTATAACATTTTTAACATGCACTTTTCTGGATTTTTTTTGCTGTTATTCTGTCTCTCACTGTTCAAATAAACCTACCATTAAAATTATAGACTGATCATTTCTTTGTCAGTGGGCAAACGTACAAAATCAGCAGGGGATCAAATACTTTTTTCCCTCACTGTATCCATACCAATGTCAGTAAAGAGTGGTAACATCACAAAGTATACCCGCAGTATGTGTTGTTATTGATACTTTTTCTGTGTATCACAGATGGTAACTGCCAACACTACACAGTATTATTGAAAGCAAAAGTTTTCCTCCACAGTTCGGCTATGCCAAACCATACTTTAAAAGTGTGTTTTGCCTTAATCACATGGTTACAGCATTCTATTCTTAAATTCATTTTAGTAGCCAAAGTTTTGTGTTTGGCGACAGCAGTTATAAATAAAAAAAATACCAGCAGCAGTAAATGAAGTTGTTTAGCCTTTAAGGAGAGCTGGGAATGTTTGTAAGGATAACACGGCAGGGCATTTCGGGTGCGCTGCAGTGCCTCGATAAAGTTGTTGTTGCAAACAGCTTCCTTGCGTAGCCAATCACATCCTTCCTGCCGAGTGCAACTCTGCAGTGCTCGTTAACAATAGCTGTGCTCCTGTCCCAGGCCTAAACTCAGCCCCACCTTCATGCTTCCTTCCTCTTTTAAGATTAGATGTGCGCATCACTCGAAGCAACGTCAGCTCTTCGTTTGGAAACAACCAAATTATTTAGCAAAATTTCAAACACCTACAGAGCGTTGTCAACACATATCCCAATGCGCTCTGTGACAGCTTTGCCAGCGCCCTCTCTCCCATTCAACAAGCAAACAGCTTCCTCTCCCCTAGTGAAACTGTGCCCACACCCCACCAGAGTCCTCATTCCGGTCCCTGAAGTTTTTCAATTGAATGCAGGGGAAAGAGGGTGCAAGTGAATACCCCTCGTGGTGCAAAGTAAAGCTGCAGTAGAAATAGCTTAAACTGTGATTGTGGGGGAATTTAAATGGCCACGTATTGCACGAAGGATTTCGGTTACGCAACTTCTCTTCTTCCGTACGGCAGGTTGATTAGCCACAACGTGATACGTCGATGTCGTACTTGATGGGCCAGTGAGGGCTACCGGGGTGATGTTGTGAATGTCCGCTGCCAACAAACAAGTGAAGCATCGCGGCATTATTGGATGAGGAATTCCATCGTTTGCCTATAATAGCCAACGTTACAATGCGAGCTGCTTTTAATTTTTACACCAGTGAAGTAGGTGGATTGCACCTGCATGTGCGAAGTATGGATGACACAATAATAATTTCAACTTGTAATGTGCAGCGCAGTAATTGCTCACTCTCAAAGAGAATGACTGAGAGGGGTGAGGAAGAACCACAGAAAAGTGGGAAGGCGGTCAGCCAGCACCAATAATTGCTCAAGCTCTGTAGTCCTCTATAATGAGTGTTTACACGTGGGAGGAAACCAGAGGACCAGGAGAAAACTCACGCGTGCGAGGCGGCAACACTGTCCATACAGACGGAAGAAGTGCAATGGACATTTTTACTGTACTGCCTTCTCCTGGCGAGCCAGGGTATGGGCACATCCTCGACGCCCACAGGAAGGGTGTTTGACATTTTTGTGCGATGATCCACCAACTCTCGCTGCCTCTACAGTGCTGGATTAACAGGCCACATGTGCCACCGCCATCATGTGAAATGGATTGTGCGGGCCGGGGTGGATCGAGAATGGAGCTGACCTGCAGGAGCCGCTCATTGGCCTCCTTCATCTCCATGTAGCTGCGCTGCTGCTCAGGAGCCATGTTCTGCACAATCACGTCAGCTGCTTGGCGCTCTCGCTCTATCTCTTGCTCCACGGCCTTCATCTGAGACTCCTTCCTGTGCAGTCACCGCAGCGGGAGCATGTGAAGGGTGACGAGCAGTACCGCAAAACAGAAACGAGCCGATGAGCTCTTTCCAAAACAATTTCGGATCTAGACTTTATTTAACAGAAACCTGAATGTGGGACGTCTGGATCTAAACATCGCACAGACACTCTCATCACACCTCCGATGAGCACGGTTGGCTATGTATGGTACGAAAAAATGTCAACATACATACAAGTGACACCTACTGTTTGTAATTGAATACTTGGCCATCATCACCATCAGCCATGAATAATCGACTGCTGGATGAAGGCCTCCCAAATCCGTGGACACCTATCACACTCCCGCGATGCAACAATCGACCAAGCACCTGCACACAAACTGATTTCATCGCTCCATCTCCCCGCTAGGACGACTCTCGGAAGTGTTCCATTCCTTGGCTGCTACTCTGTTATTATTCTTGTCCATCATCCCTTTTAGCGCTTACACGTCCTGCACAATCCCATTTACTTTTCGTAACAGTTGGATGATGTCATGAACCTGGGTGTGTTCTTTAATCCATGTGTGTACCTCGTTCTCAATATAATTCCGAGCATGCATTTCTCCACACTGCTGTGATAATTTTGAGTTTTTGTTCTATATTTTTTGTTCAAGGTTGCGGTGTCTGAACCACACTTGAGAATGCTCCTCAATTACAACAAACTAAGTAAAATTGAAAAACCTCTGTTGTAGTGCTTACGCTAAAATTGTTATTTAAACGTACAGCGAATAATGAGAGATAGTGTATGCCATGCCTTTGCCCAATCACACGCAATGCGCTTAAGCTTGGCAGATCTCAGAAGCTAAGCGCGGTTTGAGCTTTGACAGTGCTTGAATGGGTCACTGCCATGCATAATAGGTAGTGTATACTGGTGGGGCTACGTGGTGACCAGTAGAGGGTAATACAGAATAAAAAAATATTTGTTGTGCTTTACTTATATGCTCCCACATCTATGCTCCCCTGCCTTTGCCAAACCATAAGACCAGCATGGTGAAGTATGGGTCAAATAAACCTCACGACCCTCAGCATCCAGAGGCCGTCATCCACCAGCAGTGCATGAACAAAGGTCCTGCAAGCAATGCTAACAATGGTTTTCGCTGTTCACTGTGATGAAAATACTCACGCTCTCCTCTCAGTGAAGATGGCGTCCATTCCCTGGGCTTCACGGTCATTCTGTGCCTTCAGCTGTCCCACGCACACAGGGCAAGTTTTATACTCCCCAATTATAGTGAATCCTGGATGTATTCACTCTATGGAATTACACGGCAAGACCATAAAGTACAATAGCACATGTTTGTTGTATTATTGAATGTGGCGGTTAATATATGAACAGGGTATTTTAATAAAAAAATATCTCAAAAGCACCACCAGAATGTAAATATTACTTTCATTTGTGTTTTGTTTATGGCACTCGAGCAATGTTTTAGAGCAGAGGTTCCCAACCCTGGTCTGCATGGCCATGGAAAGTGGTTTGCGGAATTGCCCAAAGCGCAAATATTTAAGGTTGTATGAATGACTGATCAACAAAACAACTGGCTATTGACTGAATCTGCTGATTGCTTGATTGGTTTGGAGTAATTTTCATTTCGCTAAATGTTCACTGGTGAACAGTTTTGCGCGCAAAACAACGTTGGCAGGTTGAGAGCGAAAGGTTAGGGAACCGCTTCATATTCGAGGGGCTTGACCGTGTTGTGCAAACGGTGATTGGCTGCCATCCTCACTCACCATGTTGTATTCCTGCTGAACCTCCTCTATATCCGTGTTGGTGTTCAGCTTGTCAACCAGCTAGTTGGGGGAAAAACACAACAATGTCGTTTTTTAACATAGGTGCTGCAAATCTGTCTCATATGGTAGTTTGGTTTGTATCGTTTTACAAATCTGCACCTGGTATCTGGTATGCTGTATTCAGGAGACATAATACCATTTTTACACCTAACACATATAAACAATAGGGACAAGACAGCTTGGCTGTTCTCGAAGGGTTAGACAGCTGACATTTGGCACATTTAAATCTATGCTTATAAATAAACCATGGAGAAATTTGGCCACCAAAACTTATGCTATATTCCAATGCAGCAGCAATGCCAATGCAGCAAAGGGCCACCAGGAAATCACTACACCCCGCTCCACACACCACACTGCTGACGGTGGAGGTTGATTGACAAGAAAACACAAGTCAAGTCATGACCCAAAGTGGTTGATGACATCTTTCCAATGATTGCCGAGTCAATAACCTTCCTCTTGGTGGAAATTGTGTCTGTGTCTATATATATGGATGGCTTCGTGAACGAATCTTTGTTGATAGTCAGTAGGCTTGCAAAGTACCATTGTCTTAGAGAAATCAATTTCGTGTGAGCCAGCCGCGTTAAAATAATGATCAGCCATGGCAGAAGTATTGGTCCTACCATGTTTCAAATCTGCCTTATACTCACGAACACAGTCTGAGACATGTCGCTTAGTTTCCCCAATGCAACTGCTGCCGCAGATACAGCTTAGTTTGTAGATGCCGGGATATTGCATGTCGGGAATCTTGTCCTTCACAGATGGGATCAGATCACGAATTTTACGTAGTGTTAAATCGGACCTGGATCTTGTGTTTGTTCATGATTTTGTAAATCTTTTTGATTACCCCTGCTATGTATGACAGGGTGATGGTTTTGATTGGATCCTCAGATGGCTCCTTCCTCACGGTTGGGGTGATGGCTTTGCAGATTGTGTAGTCAGAATATTCATTCGCCTTGAGAGCTTGGTGCACGTGTATGAGTTCACTGGTTAGGTGTTCATGGTCGGAGATACATTGAGCTCTATGGTGTAGCGTTTTGATGAGAGAATTCTCCTGGAATGGATGGTGGTGGGAATCAGGTTTTGTAGTGATTTCCTGGCGGCCCTTTGCTGCATTGGCATTGTTGCTGCATTGGCATTGATTGGCTGTGTCGGGTGGTGGAGGGTTGCGACACATTTATAAATAACACGATCTAACCCAAAAACCTTTATTATGAACAGTACATAAAATTCGTGATCTGATCCCATCTGTGAAGGACAAGATTCCTGACATGCAAGATTCCGGCGTCTACAAACTAAGCTGTATCTGCGGCAGCAGTTACATTGGGGAAACTAAGCAACATGTCTCGAACCGTGTTCGTGAGCATAAGGCAGATTTTAAACATGGTAGGACCAATACTTCTGCCATGGCTGATTATTATTTTAACGCGGCTGGCTCACACGAAATTGATTTCTCTGAGACGATGGTACTTTGCAAGCCTACTGACTATCAACAAAGATTCGTTCACGAAGCCATCCATATATATAGACACAGACACAATTTCCACCAAGAGGAAGGTTATTGAGTCAGCAATCATTGGAAAGATGTCATCAACCACTTTGGGTCATGACTTGATTTGTGTTTTCTTGTCAATCAACCTCCACCGTCAGCAGTGTGGTGTGTGGAGCGGGGTGTAGTTATTTCCTGGCGGCCCTTTGCTGCATTGGTATTGCTGCTGCATTGGCATTGTTGCTGCATTGGCATTGCTGTCCCACTCATGCTGCTGGTGCTGCTGATACACTTGGGCTACGCCCATCTCCAAACCTTTATAAACAGTTTGCCTTTAGAGGCTAACTAACCCCTTTTCCTGATGACGACCGCTTGTGTTGCGATCGAAACGTCGTGATATTTTTATTCACTTTATTTTCATTATTTTTTTTCTATCTACGTGACTTTACCAAAAGAACCAAAGAATATGAATTCCTGCAGTCACGAAAGTTAAGTCAAAATTTAAATTGATTGCTTTTATTCATGGGACATTACCAGTCTAACTTCCTAAATCCTCTAAGCCTCATGCTAAACACCTGAAAATATAAAGCCTGCATCAATAGTAAACAAATAAATGTGTTTGTCTACGGCGTGTAAGAGTTGATTAACCCAATACCAGTTACTCGTAAATGATGATGTACATAGGCAGTCGTTAGCAACTGGGAGGAGTGAGTGCCTCACATAAATTAAAATGTTATACAAGAGCTTGAAAGCTAAAATTGTATACATACATCCCAGTCGATGCTTCTCTTTCTTCGTTCCATATCCTCTCAAATTGCATCCATTTGTTAAAAAAAACTACTTACGTCACTAAATTTTCTGACTTCCCTGACTTCTTATACGTATAATTCTCCCAGTCACCTAGAAACAAAAAAAATGTGCGCTCTCCAAAACTGGGTAAAAAAATTGTGATACCATTGCATGTCTAACCTCATTCTACAATCATTTGTATCTGAGAGGTTTGGGAAGGACCAAATTATCCCATTGTGCCATCTTATTTGCAAGAACTCAATTTCTGGGACACTGTAAAGAGCGTGACACAGACGTCACGAGTACAGGGAAGAAGGGTAAACGAAGATTAATCACACCTCTGAGTAGTACCTCCCATTAGCACGGCTGGCTACATACGATGCGAAAGAAGGTCAACATACAGTACATATTTTGATTTAAAGCTTTCGTGGCTGCAGGGATTCATATTCTTGGTTCTTTCGGTAAAGTCACCACGTAGAAGGGAAACAATAAAATAATAAAAATATAAAACAATAAAATTCTCACATTTCGACTGCAACACAAGCAATCATCAGGTGTGAAAACCACAGCAAGGAAATTTGAAAAAAGTGGCTGTTTTTTAACGTTAGCACCACGGAGAGAGATTTGGCAGTTATTCAGATGGACGAGTCCATCTATGTTCGGAAAAGAGGAGGGGGGAGACGAAAATAATGATGCGGTCTGAAAGCCACCGTAAGCGTGAACAAACAATTAAGACCCGAAATGGTTTATCAAATCCTTCCAATGATTGCTAAGCTAGAATCCATCTTCTCGGTTGAAATTGTCTCTGTGTTTGTATATGTGGATAGCCTCATGAACGAATCTCTCATGGTAGCCAGATGGCTTGCAGAGAACCTCTGTCTTGGAGAAGTCAATGTCATGTGAGCCTACTGAATTATAACAATGATCTGCCACGGCCGAGGTGTTGGTCCTACCGTGTTTTAGGTCTGCTTTGTGTTCACGGATGCGGTCCGAGACATTGTCGTTTGGTTTCTCCAATGTAACATTCGTGGTGCTAACGTTAAAAAACGCCACTTTTTCTAATTTTCTTGCTGTGGTTTTCACACCTGATGATGATTGCTTGTGTTGCAGTCGAAACGTCGTGAGAATTGTATTGTTTTATATTTTTATAATTTTATTGTTTCCCTTCTACGTGACTTTACCGAAAGAACCAAGAATATACTGTACATACATTACGAATCACTCATAACTTCACTCAGGCTGTCAAAATGGACTGCGCCAGCAGGGGGCGCTAGACTCCCTGGCAAGAGAGCAGTGAGGGAGGCCGCAATAAGCAGTCGTGGGATAATTCATCACTGTTGCCTTGCATTGTCAGTATCAAATAAATACAATATTTGATAAAAGTGTGTTAACTGGTATTTAGGTTTCTAAAGAGAAAACAAGAAAATATAATAAATAATACATATACAGTACATTCCTTTCTTTTAATTTTATATTATATAATTTTAACTTGTCATGCAGGCAGTATTCATTCACCGTCACAGAGAGAGAATGACTCAAGAAGCACGCAAAGGACCACTTACAAGTGAGAAGGCAGCCAAGCGGTGAGCCGGCACTACCAACAATTTCCCAAGCTCTACAGTCCTCTCTATATATGTTGGTATTATCAGACAATTAATGAGTGTTTACATGTCAGGAATCCAAAGCACCCAGAGAAAACCCACACGTTCGAGGGGGGAAAAGCTCCATCCCATACAGATGAGGGACACGTGGGGTTCACATTTCCTGGTGAGCCAGGAAATGGCATCACCTCGACGCTCACGGGGAGTTTGGCAACATTTGTGCGATCCACTGCCTCAACTCCACAGTGCAGGATTACAGGCATGCACCACCAACGCAAAGCTATATTAGACACACGTTAATTATGATCAAACTACAGTGTGCTGTGAATGTTCATATTAAAAATGATGAACGCTTCACAAATCTAAATGGCCTACAAGTCTCTGGATTTTCAACTCTTCTTCTGTAAATACCACCTCACCATATTGTAGTCAGCCAGTTCTCCCTGCTTTTCCTTTATCTCCGATGCCAGAACTTCCGCCCTATTGAAAAGGAACAAATTAAATTCATTAAAATATATATATAGTGCTTGACAATGCAGTAACGATTTGAGGTTCAAGAGGGTAAGTGTACTGCGGGTTCTTAGGTTCAAATCTGGGCAGCTACTACCCATGATTGAAAACTGGGTTGTCTAGTACAGTATGGGGAATTGATGGTCTCATATCCGGTCACCAATAACCACACAGAAAAAAAACACATTATAACTATTGTAAAATGAGTAATGCAGAAAGGCTTTCAAAGGTGCTGTGGAAAATCGCTTGTGGACCGTTCTCTGACACGTGGTTGGTCGCACTACTCTGTGAAATGTATGGATTCTTCAGCTTGTAACATAACGCCAATACCACGACGGGTATACATACATTAGGGAAAACTACCAGCATATTTTACAACTCACTGTTACCACAGAGGCACTTTAACATGTTTATGAGCTCACCTCTTCTCATAGGCCAGGTATGTAGAATTCTCCTGGTTAAAGTTGTCAACTTCTTTTTGAAGCTTGTTGTTTTCAGCAATTAGCTCATTCATTTTGCTCCTGCACCACACACACATGCATCACATCAGTTTGCATTAAGTGAAGAATTAAACTATGGAATGTGCTGAACGTCTGCACCACGATAAGATTAATCATTTACTGCAAATGTATACAATTGATTCTCCAACCAGAATTCCCATGACCATAACCTTGCATAGAAAGTATAAACTGCGTGCAGAACAAGCTCCCAATTGTTCGTGAGGTCCTTTTTTTCAAGGCCCTTGAACTGTTGCAGTAGCAGGATTAACACTGTAACAGGCAGTAAACATAATCATCATAATTGGAACTTGCAAAGTGCCACAAAGTATTCACTTACTCTTAAAGAGAGAGAACGACTCAGAGGCACAATGAAGAACCACGGACAAGTGGGAAAGGCAGCCAGGTGGTAAGGGGGTGCCAAAAAGTGCCCGCCTTGCAGTCCTCTGATGATGACTGTTTGTGTTACAGTCGAAACGTCGTGAGAATTTTATTGTTTAATATATATTTTATTATTTTATTGTTTCCCTTCGACGTGACTTTACCGAAAGAACCAATTATATGAATCACTGCAGTCACGAAAGCTTTAAATCAATTAATTAATGCTTAAATGTGGGAGTAATCTGGAGCACGTGGAGAAAAGCGAAGTGTGCGAGGGGACAACTGTAACCCATACAGACTTAACTTGGTGGCATTGACAGATTTGCTATTCTGCCTTTTCCTGACAAGCCAGGGCATGACACATTGATGCCCACAATAAGGGAGTTTTGCAACATTTGTGCAATCCACCAACCCTTGCCCACAGTGCTGGATTACAGGCGTTCATCAATAAACATATCAACGGTTCAATTATGTCATTTTTCAACAGGTCACTGCCAGATTTATTTTCTAAAACTCCACATCGGTTTCTGAACTCCAGAGCTCACGGCCATGATTAACCTATGATTACCAATCATATACACAGCACACCACTGTACACTGCAGGTGAGTAACTGGCCAGGTGGTCTCAGCGGTAGTGCGCCCAGTGCACAGTCAAGGTCGCAAGTTCAAATCCTGGTTTGGCGGGAATTGATTCAGCCCATTATCCCTGCTTCGGGACCAATAAAATGAGTTCCACTTTGTGCGAAAGTCAACAGTGGTTGTCCTATGTATAGAATAGCCACCCACCCCACCCACCCAACCGCCATTGGAATATGGAATTTCCACCACTGGCTCAGCAGGGCTGTAAACTGGAGATTAGCACCGATGCCTCAATGCTCATTTGAGCAGGAGAATCACTTTGACTTGTTGACACTGGACGCACCTGATAGTTGGAAATAACGAAGAGCTGTACTGTGGAGGGTTAACAAGGACTGGAGTTGACTAATACTGCAGTAAACGGTATTCAATAGTTTTACCTTAATTGACCAAGGAAGTAAGACTTGTCCATAATTTGCCTCTGTGGTCCTGGAAACAAAGCTCAGTTTTAATTGCATTTTTTAAACTCACATCATGTGTGGTGTCATAGGTACCACAAATAACATCACGACAATTAGCACCTCTACGGAAAATGCAACACCCGCTGCCAGGCAGTATTTATGCAGAAACTTTTGTCCGATTCAAAATCTAGGTGTGAGGGATGAGGTTTATAGCATGAAGGGTTTTGAAAATGTAAGTAATTTTTTGCAAATATTTTTTAACAACGAACCAAATGCAAAATGACCAATAAATCATGTAAAATTATAGGGTAGAATCAGGTTCCCCGTTTCAACCTTTGGAGGCCGTTTTCATCCCGCTGAGGCCCTCACGAGTCACAGGGCGGTCTGCTACACGAATCTGTGCTCCCAGAAGCCCGGCTCCAGCACCACGAGCTTGGGTACCTGGGCGCGCCGCTGTTCCCGGCGGCATCTGCCAACACAGCGAAGGGCACAACCGGACTGACCAGACTCAGTGGGCTGTACAATAGCAGTACAGCATTCTTCATGAATAAGGTCACCACCTTTTCCAGTCAGCCTAGGTCTATTATCAAACCTGTGTAATATATTGCAATAAAGATGTACACACAACTACCAGATCTCAGTATAAATCAACTTCCAGACTGACAAGTGGCAGCCCTACTCATGAAGCAGCACTGTGTGAGCAGGCAAGTGCACCAGCAGCCCACTGTATGGGTGCATGATGAGTATGTGCTTTGGTGGTATATAACATGGTATGGTTTCATTGGTATGCGTGATGTCACAGGGATGTGTGTGCTTGTGTGGTGTCATAGGTAATGTGTGTGGTGTCACAGGTGTGTGGTATCACAGGTGTCTGTGTGGTATCACAGGTGTGTGTGTGGTGTCACAGGTGCGCGTGGTGTCACAAGGATGTGTGTGTGGTATCACAGGGATGTGTGTGTGGCGTCACAGGTGCGCGTGGTGTCACATGTGTGTGGCATCACAATTGTGTGTGTGTGTGGTATCGCAGCTATGTGAAGTGTCACAGGGATGTGTGTGGTGTCACAGGTATGTGTGGTGTCACAAGTGTATGTGTGTGCTTTGCCACAGGTGAGTGGATGACATTACAGGTGTGTGTAGTGTGTCACAGCGGTGTGTGGGGGGTCATCGTCTTGCTAGTGCGCGTTATCTGTCGGTGCCGAGTGGCACGCACCGCGGTGCCGAGACGAGCCATGGGGCGGATCCCAGTGGGGGGTCGTGCAGCAGGCCCCCCTGGGGCCCCGCGCGTCCCAGGCCGGGCGCTGCTCCCGGGCCGCCTCCCGCTCGCCGTGTCGGCACGAAACTCGCTCCTGGGTGGACGAGACAATCGGCACCAGCGGCACAGCTGTACGCATGTGACCAGCACGCGTGTCAGGGCAGTGCCTACCTCACTGCACCTGATATAATTCAACGACAAGCACTCAGCTCTATTGACGATCCAGCACTTACCAATTCAATTCAGTCAGTCAGCAGAGGTGAGTCGCCTCCTTATCACTCTTTTATCGCTACTACCACGGTTACTGTTCCCGTGAACTTGTTGAGAAGTCTTGTCCCATCCATACTGTGTTTAACCACCATACTTCTGGCCACACCACTCACTCACCCATGAACATACTTACCCACTCACTCATCCACTCAATTATTCACTTACTCACTACACTGCAGAGCTAAACACTACTCGTTTTGCTCCTTTCCTCACACTGCCCAATTTTGGAATTCCTTCCTATTGTCTCTTTTCCCAAGCACTAATAACATTTCTCAAGTTAAGAAAAGTGTTAACTCGTATGTATTACAAGTCTCTTCAGCTACACACATAGATCAAACCACAGCAACCCAGTCTTGTGATTCCTCCACGAGCTCCAAGTTGAACAATAACAGCATTCGCCGCCATTCGCCACGAAGTGGTGGTGACGTCACCAGGGCGCACGTTAAGGCCACGTGAAGTGTTGAACGCCTGCTAGCAGGTCACGGGATAGACCCAGGTGCCATGGGTCGAATAACATAGATGACTGCCCGATGCACCACCTGTGCCCCCTACTGTGCCAACTTGCTGTTTTATCCACCCGGCATTACGCTCGTTGTTGTGAGCGTCGCTCCTCCGCCCTCCGCTGCTGTTGGAGGGCGACTGCCTCCAACTACTCAACAGCGTCCTTCACGAGCCTCCTCCACAGAGGCCGATCTTGACATCGCTGGTACCAGTCGTCGGCAAGTCCACTCAGCTCCACGTCCTCCTGTACCACATCACTCCATAGCTCCAAGTTCACCGCCAGTTAAACACTCATTACCTTCAAGATCCTCCATGAACTCACCCCCTGCCTTACCTCTCCACTCTCGTCTCTACTCCCCTGCACTCACTCTCCTACCTCTCCACTATCGTCTTAATCTACTCCCCTCCACTCAAGACTCCTACCTCTCTATTCTTATCTCATTCTTCTCTCCTTCACGTGTCCTAAACTCCAACAAACTAGGACTCCATGCAAACACCTCAACCAACCTGCACTCGACAAGGGGTCACTCTATTTAAAGCTTTCGTGACTGCAATGATTCATCTTATTTGGTTCTTTCGGTGAAGTCACATAGAATGAGAATAAAATAATAAATTGATAAAATAAAATAACACAATAATATTCTCACGACGTTTCGGCCACAACACAAGCGTCCCTTCACCTGATGAAGGCCGCTTGTGTTGTGGCCGAAACGTCGTGAGAATATTATTGTGTTATTTTATTTTATCAATTTATTATTTTATTCTCATTCTCCCTTCACCTGATGAAGGCCGCTTGTGTTGTGGCCGAAACGTCGTGAGAATATTATTGTGTTATTTTATTTTATCAATTTATTATTTTATTCTCATTCTACGTGACTTTACCGAAAGAACCAAAGAAGAAGGGGTCACTCCTCTACTTCTAACGCCATTGCTTGGAATGGGACTCCCTTCTACCCGCCAGCCCACCCCTACCCAAGTCCGGCTCCGTCGTATTCCCCTCTGCTCACGACTGTTTTACCATTTTTTAAGTGCTTCAATTCGCACTTTACACGCACAATCCCCTCCCTTGAGTTCCCATGCCCCCCACGTTTTGTACAGCGCCTTGAGAAGCAGTTACGAGATGCATTAGGAATCAGTAGGAGCCATGATCAACCCAGTTAGTCCACGTTTTCAAAGTATCAATCTTTTTGATTTAAAGCTTTCGTGACTGCAGGGATTCATATTTTTGGTTCTTTCGGTAAAGTCACGTAAAAGGGAAATAATAAAAAGATAATAAAATAAAATCTCACGACGTTTCGGCCACAACGAAACGTCGTGAGAATTTGATTTTGTTTTATTATTTCCCTTCTACGTGACTTTACCGAAATAACCAAGAATATAAAGTATCAATCAACAAACAATTATTTGTTTACTTCTGAGTGGCCTTGATTAGTGAATGGGTCAGAGCAGAAACTGCTACCACCAACTCGTTAGCCGTTACGGTGTGAATTGGCCACATCAAGACATTGCAACCACTAACGCTGTGCCACCTCAAGTGGCACCACAAGTAGAGATCTCCACTGGATGAAGGCACCCCGAGGCCACCGCTCTATAAATAAACTGCTTTGTATTGCTGCGCTCTTGTCGTGTCCTAGGCGTAAGACTCCCCGCCACAGGAACGTGGAATTGCCACCACTGGTTCTGCAGCGCTGTAAACGGGAGTTAGGCACGACGCTGACTCTACTGACACGCGGTTGCATTTAGCCGCGTTATGGTGGAGTGCCGCGTTGTTGTGTAAACCCTGCCGCGTCCCGCGTAGGCGGTGAGTAGGCCTCGCCTCGCCTCGCCGTGTTCACCACTCGCACGCAGCTCGCGCGACTCACATTGCTGCGGCTTCGTAAACCGCGCGCCGCCGGGGGTTTCTCCAAATCCCCGGAGAGTTTCTCTGGAGACGAAGAAAACTCCGCGATTGCAGGAGGCGAGGTTCGTAACTTAAACCGCGACTCAGGCGTTAGGGTTGTTCCCACGGCAACCAGGGGCGGGATGACGTCACCGCCGGGTACATGACGACATCCGCCAACACCACGCCTCGTGGCGTCATTCACGGACCGTGCACCTCTTGACACTTCACCCGACGGCTCGTAAACCCTCAACTGCGTCACGTCGTCTGCTAATTTTGCTCGTGAAACGATACGCGATCCCCGCTTTGTGACGTCATTATCATACACTTTACCGAGTGACGTCATCGCATCTTTCACGAGCTAGTGGCGAGCGTGATGACGTCACGTTATTGGAACCCCACACCCCCACTCATCGGCCGTGATCTATCCACTGCTGGATGAAGGTTTCTCCAGCCATTTGTCACGGTCCCGCGATGTGACGAGACGCACGGACAGGCGCGGCTCGTCCACTAGGGGCGCGCTGCCCCACCAAGCAGCTGGAGATGAGAAATGCAGGTAGTCCCCGACTTATATACACAGGTAGTCCCCGACTTACGATGGAGATGCGTTACGACGACCCCATCGTAAGTCGAACATGGCCTAGCTTACCCAGGAGCTTTAAAGAATGGTGATAATTTAGCAAAACAGAGCAAATTACAGTACCGTACTGTATAAACTATATACTGTATGTATTTATTAATTACAATACTGTATTGCACAGTACATTTTAAAGTAAAAAACAAGGTAAATTCTTAGCCTACCTATATGAACTGCAATTTCATAGAAAGTTTTTTTCAGGAAACAATCCTTTCTGCTATAAAAAAAACTTTTAACATGCATTCAAGTTTCAAGTTTCATTTATTAGGTATAGCCCTGTGAGCCATGCGGCTCTTAAGTCGGGTGCCACCACAACAAACAAAATATGAATCTACATTGCAGAAAACTATTACACCACAACCAGACCAAAATAAAGCTACAAAAACAATGTAACAACAGTAATCATAGGTACTGTGATTTTAAATTTAACAATAAACGAAAAACAAACAATAAATGATATACGTAACACGTACGACAAAACCTGCAGCCATAGCTGGCAGCACGACACTCCCAGTGTATGATGTGTGAGTGAGTCAGCAGCAGCGTGAGTGAGTGTATGATGTGTTAGTGTATGATGTGTGAGTCAGTATTAGGCTGAGTGAGTGTATGATGTGTTAGTGTATGATGTGTGAGTGAGTGTATGATGTGTGAGTGAGTCAGCAGCAGCGTGAGTGAGTGTATGATGTGTTAGTGTATGATGTGTGAGTCAGTATTAGGTTGAGTGAGTGTATGATGTGTTAGTGTATGATGTGTGAGCCAGTATTAGGTTGAGTGAGTGTATGATGTCTTAGTGTATGATGTGTGAGTCAGTATTAGGTTGAGTGAGTGTATGATGTGTTAGTGTATGATGTGTGAGCCAGTATTAGGTTGAGTGAGTGTATGATGTGTTAGTGTATGATGTGTGAGTGAGTGTATGATGTGTGAGTGAGTCAGCAGCAGCGTGAGTGAGTGTATGATGTGTTAGTGTATGATGTGTGAGTCAGTATTAGGTTTAGTGAGTGTATGATGTGTTAGTGTATGATGTGTGAGTGAGTGTATGATGTGTGAGTGTATGATGTGTGAGTGAGTGTATGATGTGTGAGTGAGTCAGCAGCAGCGTGAGTGAGTGTATGATGTGCGAGTCAGCGTATGATGAGTGAGTCAGCGTATGATGAGTGAGTCAGTATTAGGTTGAGTGAGTGTATGATGTGTGAGTCAGCGCACGATGTGTTATTCAGCGCATGATGAGTGAGTCAGTGTATGATGTGTGAGCGAGTCAGCGGCAGAGTGAGTGAGTGTATGATGTGTTAGTGTAGGATGAGTGAGTGAGTGTATGATGTGCGAGTGAGCCAGCACACGATGAGTGAATCTGTGTATGATGAGTGAATGGGTCAGTGGTTGTGCGAGTGTATGATGTGTGAGTAAGCGCATGATGAGCGAGTCAGTGCATGATGTGTGAGTGAGTCAGTGCATGGTGTGAGTCAGTGTATGATGTATGAGAAAGTCAGTGTCGGCTCCCTCTGCTCGCGCCGTCGCCTCCCCCCCCCCCCGGCTCCGTCGGCCCCCCCCCGGCTCCGTCGGCCCCCCCTGCCGGCTCCGTCGCCCCCCCCCGGCTCCGTCAGCCCCCCTCGGCCCCGTCGGCCCCCCCCCGGCCCCGTCGGCCCCCCCGGCTCCCCCGGCTCCGTCGGCCCCCCCCGGCCCCGTCGGCCCCCCGGCTCCGTCGGCCCCCTCACAAACGGCCCCGCCAGCCACTGCTGGGAGCACCCCGGGAGTGCACGCCCCTCAGGCGGCCATCTACAGGCTACAGTCTATATTAGTGGTCTTTGTTTTTTATTATTTTATATTCTTTTTATTCACTTTATTTTTATTATTATTTTTTCTATCTACGTGACTTTACCCGAAGAACCAAAGAGAATGAATTCCTGCAGCCACGAAAGTTTTAAGTCGGGGCTTAACAATCTTGACCTGCATTGAATGTATGTATCGTAGCGTGGTAACCCTGAAATGAAATCGCTAAAGCTACGTATCATACATGCATTGAACGTATCGTAACGCATCATATTCTACTGTACTCACCAAGATTCTGTCCGTCGATTGCATACTTGAACGATGTTAGGTTGTTGATGGCTACATTAACTTAGTTGTCGGAAGATGAGGATGGCGTTGATAAAGTACAGGATCGTACCTCGTACGCTGCTGCGTTTGCCTGCCGCGCGAAATTAAAAATATGTTACAATTTTGTCATATCGCTATCGCCATCGTAAGATCAAATTTCGTAAGTCGGACCATCGTAAGTCGGGGACTACCTGTAATTTTTCTAACTTGGGGTTGTTCAGGGGCGCCTGCGGCCCCCCTCACAACCATTTACGGCCTTCGGCCAGGAAAGTCACAAAAGGAATTGCACACGAACGACGCATTCACGCAAACACCCGATGCTCCGCTTTGAAGTTTTAAAATGAAACATCTTTGAATTGTATCATGTTTTAAATAAGATAATTTTATTTCTTCATTCAAAGCTTGTATCATTTTGCATCTGGAAGACTTAATTGAAAACGACATTTCGTGTGAATTTTCTCTCGTCGTTAAGTACAGTGAGGGAAAAAGTATTTGATCCCCTGCTGATTTTGTACGTTTGCCCACTGACAAAGAAATTATCAGTCAATTTTAATGGTAGGTTTATTTGAGCAGTGAGAGACAGAATAAAAACAAAAAAATCCAGAAAAACGCATGTCAAAAATGTTATAAATTGATTTGCACTTTAATGAGGGAAATACGTATTTGACCCCCTCTCAATCAGAAAGATTTATGGCTCCCAGGTGTCTTTTATACAGGTAACGAGCTGAGATTAGGTGCACACTCTTAAAGGGTGTGCTCCTAATCTCAGCTTGTTACCTGTATAAAAGACACCTGTCCACAGAAGCAATCAATCAATCAGATTCCAAACTCTCCACCATGGCCAAGACCAAAGAGCTCTCCAAGGATGTCAGGGACAAGATTGTAGACCTACACAAGGCTGGAATGGGCTACAATACGATTGCCAAACAGCTTGGTGAGAAGGTGACAACAGTCGGTGCGATTATTCGCAAATGGAAGAAACACAAAAGAAATGTCAATCTCCCTCGGCCTGGGGCTCCATGCAAGATCTCACCTCGTGGAGTTGCAATGATCATGAGAACGGTGAGGAATCAGCCCAGAACTACACGGGAGGATCTTGTCAATGATCTCAAGGCGGCTGGGACCATAGTCACCAAGAAAACAATTGGTAACACACTACGCCGTGAAGGACTGAAATCCTGCAGCACCCGCAAGGTCCCCCTGCTCAAGAAAGAACATATACATGCCCGTCTGAAGTTTGCCAATGAACATCTGAATGATTCCGAGAACTGGGTGAAAGTGTTGTGGTCAGATGAGACCAAAATGGAGCTCTTTGGCATCAACTCAACTCGCCGTGTTTGGAGGAGGAGGAATGCTGTCTATGACCCCAAGAACACCATCCCCACCGTCAAACATGGATGTGGAAACATTATGCTTTGGGGGTGTTTTTCTGCTAAGGGGACAGGACAACTTCACCGCATCAAAGGGACGATGTATGGGGCCATGTACCGTCAAATCTTGGGTGAGAACCTCCTTCCCTCAGCCAGGGCATTGAAAATGCGTCGTGGATGGGTATTCCAGCATGACAATGACCCAAAACACACGGCCAAGGCAACAAGGGAGTGGCTCAAGAAGAAGCACATTAAGGTCCTGGAGTGGCCTAGCCAGTCTCCAGACCTTAATCCCATAGAAAATCTGTGGAGGGAGCTGAAGGTTCGAGTTGCCAAACGTCAGCCTCGAAACCTTAATGACTTGGAGAAGATCTGCAAAGAGGAGTGGGACAAAATCCCTCCTGAGGTGTGTGCAAACCTGGTGGCCAACTACAAGAAACGTCTGACGTCTGTGATTGCCAACAAGGGTTTTGCCACCAAATACTAAGTCATGTTTTGCAGAGAGGTCAAATACTTATTTCCCTCATTAAAATGCAAATCAATTCATAACATTTTTGACATGCGTTTTTCTGGATTTTTGTTGTTGTTATTCTGTCTCTCACTGTTCAAATAAACCTACCATTAAAATTATAGACTGATCATTTCTTTGTCAGTGCACAAACGTACAAAATCACCAGGGGATCAAATACTTGTTCCCTCACTGTAGATGTCCTTGCTGGGGGTTTGATGCGGACTTTCACCTGTTTGGGATTGCGGGATCGAGATCAGGCGACAGAGAGCTGCTGGCCGTGCGAGAAGATCGCCGTCTGCAGATCGATTCCAACGTGATCGAACGTCTGTCCCTGGGCCTACCTCGTTCATGCAGGGGGTGCGTGTAGGTTTACAGCGCCGCCTGCATGAAAACGACGGAAAGTGCAGCGTTAATCACAGACAGATAAAGTTGTGCGCTTATATAAGAGTATTTTTCTAATATAAATACTTTTCCATAAATTGTTTAGGTGCGTATAAAAAACATGAAGATTCTTTAAACGTGAATTGCCTAATGAAGATAACATTTTATGTTGTTCGTATTAGAAACCGCTGCAACACCGCAGTCTGATTTGTGCCTCGGGGAAGTCTTGGGGTGGCTGTGAAGGCGTCCGGAGTGAGAGATTTCCCTTCATTCGTCGCGATGAGCTGCCGGCATTGTAGCCACGACGTTTGAGACCCATTCAGGGTGGTGAAAAAGGCGCCCGTCGCTGTAATGAGAGACGGCGTCACAACGCGAGGTGGCACTGCAAATAGAGCAGCAGCTCACGGCCTACACGCTCTAGGCTTCTGGCAGTGTCAAAGGGGTTGCGTGGTGTGGACTCGAGGGTCATGGGGACAGCATTTGAGTGCTTTGTTTTGTTTCGTATTGTTTATAAACGCCTACCTTTGGTGGATAAGACAGCGGCATTACTTTCACGGGAAGGCCAATAACATGACGAGGTTTTCTGAATTAGAACACAGTCTTTTCAGAGGTCACTCACAACATCCCCACCTAGTCGAGATGTCACGAGCCGCCACTGCACACAGAGTCCGTGTACAGAAAGCTGAGGTTCGTTGCCCCATCTCCACAGGGAGCGTCCTCTGTAGCCGTCTTGTCTCCTTTTCAGTTTTTGGACTTGACCATCGGCCATCGTCACATTGTGGTGGAAATTACACATGCCTATAGAATTTGCACATCCCTATGGACATTCCACATCCCCATGAGCCGGATGGCTATGCCATATGATAACCACTGCTTGACTTCCCCCACAAAGTGGTATGGGCCGAGTCAAACACCCCCCCGCCCCCCACACACAGAATTTGCACTTGCAACCTCCCGATTGCGAGTCGCTCGCAGGGAGGAACCACGGACGAGCGGGCAAGGCAGCCACGGCTGTGAGCCGGCGCCAACAATTACCCAAGCTCTGCGGTCCTCTATACACGAAGGGGTTATCGGCCAATTAATAAGTGCTTACGTGTGGGAGGAAACCGGAGCGCCTGGATAAACCCCATACGTGCGAGGGGACAACACTCTATCCCATACAGAGGGAACAGGTGGAGTGCACATTTTGCCGTAACGCCTTCTCCTGGCGAGCCGGGATTTGCTTCCTCCTCCCCCTCCTCGACGCCCACGGAAAAGGAGTGTCGCAACACGTGTGTGATCCACCAACCCTCGCTGCCTCCATCGTGTGCTGGACTCCAGGCGGGCGCTACAGCTGCCAGGCCAAATACCCTTTTTGTGTCCCCGTGGGAAGTTTAACTGAGCACCAACACTTGAGAGGGGGCCCTGCAGGGGGTTGTTTGGCCTGGGTGCCTTGATGGTGAGATGTTAATTGCTTCCCCTGGTATACAGGAGGTCGTGGGTTCGATCCCGACCATGACGCCTGTGTATTTGGAGTTTGCATTCTCTCTCCCCATGGTCGCGTGGATTTTTCTCCAGGTTCTCCGTTTTTTCTCCTCCACATTTAGAAACATGTGTTTACAGTATTGTCTGCTATAAATGTCCACATTGATAAACCACTCTGTTGAGCTATAATTTGTGGCCCATGTGGCTTACAGCTCAGTGGGCCTTACCTGGTAAAATAAAAATAGTTAGCTAGTCAGATACATGTCGGAGGATACCGGAGAATCCTGAAAAATAGTTCCAGACATACAAGGCAACAGCACTAAAAACTCAACACAGATAGAATCAAGAATCCATTGTTACTGTCAACCTAAGTGACATTCCCTCACTGCCTCACAGCCATTGCCTGAAACACATGGTATTCTCAGGCGCCAGTCTCAACCCTTGTTGAAGAGGGGCGCATTCAGGGCGATGCATTTGTAGGGCATTTGGGCGCAGGCTGATGGCTGCTGGTGAGGTTAAAATAGCTTCACAATCGCTAAAATACGTTTTGTTGACACCCAGAGATTGGACAGTGGAGTCACGTTATGCAGATATATTACGACAAAGGCGGATCACATTCACCACGACACGCTGTGGGCTGCTCTGTCGCATCATGGTTCATATTGCACATCAATATTTACATCCAGCAAGACATCCCCATAACATTACACATACAATCAGTAAGAGTTGCTTTGATTTCTGTTCAGTTATTTTGCTCTGATTTCTATTTACTTCTTTGATGTGCTTTGTTTCCATATTGTAGCTTTTGTCATTTTGATTCTTAAATATGTTATTGTTAGTGTTCATATGAGGTTAGAAACACTTAAGCCTGTCTGTGCTCTCCAGTTGCCTGGGTGAAAAGTGGGCTAAGTTGTTGCCCAATCCTGGCCGAGCTGGCTCAAAAACGTAATAAACTAACTTACATTTTGGTGACCCGAGTCACTATTGCAAAATTAGACTCTCGTCAAATGTTCACATTAAAATAGCCCTGGAATATACGATTCATATATCATGTACTACTAACATTCCGTAAATTCCATGTTTATAAAGTGACTCCATATGATCATATGAACAATAAAAAAACACAGATTCAACCACTCGGTTTGTGGCTCTCGGCCACTCTAGATCCGTGCGTCACCATCAACGATAAATGTTTTTACACGGACCGCCGCGCACCCATAACATTTTACAGATTTACAACCATTCGAACCACTCTAATGAATGCACCTGCTGTCTTGATTAGCCCTGAATATTTAAAAAAATGCAACATCAATGATGTATTTGTTTATTAAAATATATTTAATTGTAATGTTATTAAATGTCATTATTGTTAAAGTGAGAAGTCAATAAATATCTAAGTGTGTGATCTCCAGTTGACTGGTTGCAAAGTGGGGCTCTCCTTACCCAATCCTGGCCAGCCTGGCTCTAAAACTCGATAAACGATCATCGCACCTCCACTTGGCACAAACACATATATCATTAATTTGTGCAATGGGCAGCAACAAGAGATATCTGCTTTGTGAACACAAATATCCGCGACAGAGATCACAAGGGGGCCACTTCCCCATGGGGGCTTTGCGGCACGGGGTGGGGAGCTACTGCACTCGGAGATGGCTGAACCCCCAAGGGATGGCACTCGCGGACGTAAACGAGGTGACGGGTCACGCCGCCGCATCCCGTAGGTCCCGGGTCACGATCAGGGGTCGGCCACCCGGACTTCAGAGTTCCCCAAGCAGACAAACGCTCCTACTGATGCTGCTGCTGCAAGGCTGACCATGGAACGCGGGCCCCACAAACGACGCCCGGTGGAGCTGTTCATCTACGGCACGCGGGCCGCTCCAGGACTACTCACTTAGGATCACTTGATCCCGTGCGGCCCTGCCACTTGAGCGTGATATCTAGCGGTCGCCGCAAACACCAAGACGCACGTGCAGTTTGGAAACCGTGACGGCATGAATGCAGAAGAGCCGGTATGAAGTCGATTCGTCCTTGCAGCAGCACACGTTTGATGCCCTTTGTTCCCCTTTGCAAAAGTGTCGTGGTGTAGGAATAGGAAGCATCCTGAAAGTGCGGGTAGACACGCGTGTGTTTGGTGTTCAGAGAAGCGCCGGTATACAATTCCAGCGTGTACCGAAAAGTTGCACCTCCGTGCGTTTGTGAGAGGAAAGGAGGCCCAGGCATCGCATTGATAACGATAAATAGAAGAAGAAAGTAAAAAGTGATTTCCTGCCCACATTGGGCATTGAGGCATTGGTGCTAATCTCCCGTTTACAGTCCTGCAGAGCCAGTGGTGGAAATTAGTCCCATGATGTCTACCGATAGGACAACCCGCAGATATCTTTCCCCACAAAGTGGAACTCATTTTTATCAACCCTGAAAGGTTGATGGGCCAAGTAAAGCCCTCCTACCAGGATTTGAACTTCCAATCTTCCAAATGTGAGTCGCTCGCTCTACGCAGAGCAGCCACCTGGCTGGCTCGGGGTAAAGCTGAACCCTCGTTCGATGTTGTGCTATTACCAGATAACACCATGGTGTGGTGATGCGCGGTTGCCTATCAGAGGGTCATCACCGCTTGTCCGCTACACGACCAGGTTGGCCGTGCTGGCAGTTTGTTCCACAGGCTGCATGACCGCGGGGCCCTCCCTGGTCGTCGCCAGCCTGGCCAGGAATTGCCTTGTTGTGAGCGCCATGCACGAGGCCAGCAGCACGAAGGCGCGTGTCGTGACGCCGTACACCACCGTGGCCACGAGGATGACGCCGCCGCAGGCGAGGAGGACGACCGCGATCCCATGCATGGCCGTCCAGGCGGCCACCCCGGAGTTTCTCTGCTGCGCGACGACGAGCATCGCAGAGCCCGCGATGACGCCGCTGGCTCCGCTCAGCAGGAAGATGATGACGTCGAGGCCTCCTCCGTCCATCAGGAAGCTCACGGATGATCTCCTGTACACGAAGCTCATGTGATGCACGGTGGAGATGACCAGCAGCTTGAATACCACCAGGAAGCTCCACATGCAGAGGAAGATGGCCACGCCGAACTGCCAGTTCACCTGGGCGTACGAGACGTCGACGATGATGATGACGGCCCCGATCATGCAAGCGACGGAGAGACCCACCGACGCGAAAAAGCACAGGGTGGAACTCCGGGGCTTCTCAAACCACCAGAGGTCCACGTCGCCCTCCAGGGGGTCCGGGTTCGGCGGGGGCGCAGCGCCGCGGCCTTGCGGGGGACCCCCACCGTTGGCGGCAACCGCGTCCACGTCGGTGTCGGTGTCTCCTGCCGGCTCGGACATGGCGCTGTCTCGCTGCACGGACAGGGGTCGCACGTGCACTCGGCTGACGCAGCGGTAGAGCGAGCAGACCACCACCTAGATCCTAGTATCTCTCAACACCACTTGTCGTAGCCTTACGGATACCAGTGGGGCATGAAATCAACAGGTGGCTGAAACCACTGCCCGAGAGGTTAGTCACTTGGACCCCATTTCACGAACTTCACTGAGGTCACCGATAACAGACCATGGAGCATATTAAACAAAACTTTTTTACTCGTCTAAAAAATATGACGGATTCATGAAAAAAATATTTCATGAAAAACACGACAATTTAAAGATTGTATTGCATTTCTCTATTCGAAAAATGTTTCTATGTGAATCACCTTTATCGAGCTATATAAAAGCTGTTTGAGTTACCTTTCTATCAGTAAGAAAGTAAACGAAATATTTCAATAAAAATGTTTTCCCAAATTAACATTTTTCCTCAGCTGTGACAGTGAATAAACATACAAACACTTGGTTCTCGACTCATGTTTGTTGCAAGTGTATACTTATATACTTATGGTAGGAATTATTTACCTATTATAAGTATCGACTTACGGGATTCTGTATTGATGTGAATGCAAAAAATAAACTATTTATTTATGAAAATTAGGGGACACAGGTCGTTGCCACCTGATTTTCACAAATTTTCGCTAAAATTGTGAGCAGAATGTCGCTTTTACCAAAAAATGTTTGCACTCAGTTACAATAGCTTACTGGATTCTGAATTGATGTGGATTTGAAACAAGTTACTATTTATTATTGATTGGAAGGGGAGAGGTCGGTGTTCACGAATGTTCATAAATGTTCACTCTAACTGCAAGAAAAAGTCATCAAAGTGAAACAGCAGAGTTATAAAGGGAAGGGATCTCAATGTAAACCACAAATGACACAAATACATCTTTGACTGTATCTATGAATAAATGTATGACTGGGTTTGGACAGTACTTGTTTTTGAGCAAAATAATGCATGATGCAATCTAAACCTGGTATTGCATGATACATGATATGAATTGCATTATGTTATTCCTAGAAGTCATGGATGATGCAATCATAACTAGGCTTACATCCCTCTGTTTTAACAAATTGTCCTATATCAGCTCTAGAAATCATGCAGTGTCGTGCTCTCTTATTTGTCAGTGTTTTATTTTGCAAAGGGACACAATTCTGTTTAGCCAAAGTGAGCAGAGATGCCTCGTAATTGTGTGAACAAAGCAGATTTCAGCTATGTTTGTGGTGAAGTGACTTTTGCATCACAAAAGCGCAGTATAACCACTATGGTTAAAAGAGCCTTTCACCTTTCTTTTGGCTGCAAAATTGGAGATCAGGACAAGATGTGGGCCCCACACATAGGCTGCAACACTTGTGAAACAAATATTCGTCAGTGGTTGAACATGAAAAGGAAATCTATGCCTTTTGCAGTGCCAATGAATTGGAGAGAGCCAACAGATCACATCAGCAATTGTTACTTCTGCATGGTGCCTGCAATTGGGAAAGGTGTGCAAAGAAGAAAAAGTGGACTGTGCATTATCCAAGCATTCCATCAGCTATATGCTCAGTACCCCACGGAGAAGGATTGCCGGTTCCTGATGCACCAGAATCAATCTCACTTGAGTTAGACGAGGAAGAGGATTAAACTTCTGGTCCTGAACCATCAAGGTCACGTGACCCAGATTTTCTTCTTTCCTCCTCCTCTGAAGCACACCTCATAACACAAGGTGAACTGAATGACCGAACTGTCCAAGAGTAAGGCAGAGCTGTTGGGCTCCAGACTGCAGCAGTGGAATCTCCTGGCAGGTGATGTTAGGGTTTTCATGTTCCGTGACCGGCAAAAGGATCTTGTCCCATTCTTCTTCATGCAAGGTGATCTTGTAGCCTGCAACAACATCGATGGTGTGTTGGCAGCCCTCAGCATCGTTCATGATCCAGATGAGTGGAGACTGTTCATTAGATCAATCGAAGATTAATCTTAAAGCTGTTTGCTGCATAATGGCAATGTTTTGCCATCACTTCCAGTTGGTCATGCCGTTCATATGAAGGAAACCTATGACAAACATGAAACAAGATTTGAGGTGCATAAACTATGACCAACATCAGTGGCAGCTTTGTGGCGATTTGAAGATGGTTGCTCTCGTGCTTGGTCTGCAGACTGGATACACAAAGTACTGCTGTTTTCTCTGCGAATGGGATAGTCGCGTGAGAGATTCCCACTACATCAAGATAGATTGGCCACTCCCACAGTCATTGGAGCCTGGGACGAAAAGTGTTCAGCAGCCACCACTTGTTGAATCAAGAAAGATTTTATTACCACCCTTATACATCAAACTGGATCTGATGAAGAACTTTGTCAAAGCCATGGACAACACACAAGCAGCTTTAAAGTACCTCCGTGGAAAATTTCCAAGGTTAAGTGAAGCTAAGATAAAGGAAGGTGTCTTTGTTGGTCCTCAGATTCGTGAACTTATTCTAGATGATGCATCTGACAGTGCACTCTGCATGGCAAGGAAAAGACGGCATGGAACGCCTTCCAGTTAATGGCAGCAAATTTTCTCGGAAACAAGGCAGACAACTACCGGGAGTTGGTGGAAAACCTCCTGCATACAAAAGCCTTAGTTGCAACAAGTCACTAAAGATACATTTTTTGCACTCTCATCTCGATTTTTCCCACCGAACTGCGGAGCAGCGAGTGACGATCATGGCGAGCGATTTCACCAGGACATTGCAACAATGGAGAAACGCTATCAGAGCAAATGGAGCCCATCAATGTTTGCAGACTATTGCTGGACAGTGACACGAGATGCTCCATTTAATGAATACAAGAGACAAGCCAAGAAGCGTCGAGTAGACACTGAATAAGGACTAAACTATGTACTTATATAGACACATAATAGTTTTTGTCTTTTGTTTCATAATACATTTTATGTATATTACCCTTTTGCTGATTTTTAAAGTGTTACATGAACACGACGGTTAACATGTTATCATGTTAAGCAACCATAAACACGTGAAAAGAGCTAGGTTTACAATTTATGAGTAAAACTCTACTATCTACAAAATATACATAGACCTAAAATGTAAAAACTTAAATATCTTGGGCACAGTAGCCAATCAGTTGTTTACATTGTCTTATTTGAATTCAGCATATCAACATCCATAATAAACAGCACATTTCATCTCTGAAGCAGACGACGTCTGAAGAATTGTTGACCAGTGTAATAAGTAACAATTTTAAGAAGTCTTTCATGAATTTTATTTTTTAAATTGCATGAAAATCCACGTAGCCTACCCAGCGTTACACACGGCGTACATATCACCAAAACTACGTGCATAATGTTACTAGGTAAGGTCCACTGAGCTATGTAGCTGTTTTTCAGAAGCAACCTGGGCACAATTGATCACCCAAGTGGCTTATCATGTGGAAATGTATAGCGGCCAAATGCTCTAAAAGCATGTTTTTAAATGGAGAGGGAAAATCCGGAGGACTCGGATAAAAATCCACGCGACCACAGGGAGAACACACAATCTCCAAACATAGAGCAGGCATCAGGGTCGGGATCGAAAAAACACGACCTCCTGTATACCCTGCGAATAGCTAACATCTCTCGCCAGAGTGGCTCAATGCCAGATTCACATATAGGAAGGAGGCATCATCACAGCGATACACTCTGATACTCCTGACGCAACCGTCTGGCTCATCAGCCACGTCAACGTTAAAATTGCAAGCTACGTTGCTCTACACCAACGTGAGCCACACGAAGTAGAAGACTGGGCCCGGTCTAAGTGAACGCGGCCTTCGATGGACGCAGTTCTCAGCAGAGACTCACGAGAGGCGCGCGGTCGATGTCGCTGCGCAGGAATGGGTTACAGGCACCACACCGGCTTGGTTGACGAGTCCAAAGTCTCGTTCGGGGTTAATGATTTGCCGCGCATCGCAACACAACACCGTTTCCTGGCGATGCAATGATAGAGTGCGGTCTAAGGTACACCTCCTCAAGCACCATGACCGTCACAACCCACTTGCTCCACCCCATGTTTATAACACTAAACCACTAAATCACTGGGTGTCGTCACGGATATAATAAGTAACGCAATAAATACAGTACGCTGATCGTACACCTACCTGTCCATATTTGTCTCGCCGCATAAAAAACGGGATGTGTAAAACATCCCATCAAGTGATGATTTTTTTCAGAAGCTATTGTTTTCATCGAAGCAAAAACTCTGCATCAGGCTCGACATTGTGTTTAGTTTTGATGTTTGTATTTAGTTTGGTGTCCTTGCCCGCACCTCAGATTAGCAGGGTTGGCTACGTACGGTGGGAACGAAGTCCAAAATAGATAGAGAAGAGTCAGGCTGGCTTCAAGTACCTTTGATTTCTTATATACGTTCAAATATCGACAACATATTTAATAGACGTACTTAATACATCCTCAATTATCTACAATATATCTAAAATCACTGAATAACGGGATATACCCTCAATTATTAGCAAATTGGTCAATTTTTAGAGCACGCCTAAAGAATCAAACGTAGCAACAAATATCTTGCCTTGGCGGGTACCGAGGGCAGTGGTTATTAACGGGGGTACGTGAGGTGATTTATCAATGTGTGAAATTATATCTTACATTAGAGTAATTGGTGAATGATCATGTTGTATGACTCTCCATTATAGAGGTTTTTGTGGGTTAGATCGCGTAAATATATAAATGTGTCGTTAAAACCCGACACAGCCAAATAGTAAGCGTTGTCACTTAAACAGAATGTGGCCAATTCGTCACTAGTACAGCACTAGTGTGTAGTGTAGTGTATAGTAGTGTGTAGTATAGTGTATAGTAGTGTAGTGTATAGTGTAGTGTATAGTAGTGTAGTGTATCGTGTAGTGTATAGTAGTGTAGTGTATAGTAGTGTAGTGTATAGTAGTGTAGTGTATAGTAGTGTATAGTAGTGTAGTGTATAGTAGTGTAGTGTATAGTTGTGTATAGTAGTGTAGTGTATAGTAGTGTATAGTATAGTGTATAGTAGTGTAGTGTATAGTAGTGTAGTGTATAGTAGTGTAGTGTATCGTGTAGTTTATAGTAGTGTAGTGTATAGTAGTGTAGTGTATAGTAGTGTAGTGTATAGTAGTGTAGTGGATAGTAGTGTAGTGTATAGTAGTGTCGTGTATAGTGTAGTGTATAGTAGTGTAGTGTATAGTAGTGTAGTGTATCGCGTAGTGTATAGTAGTGTAGTGTATAGTAGTGTAGTGTATAGTAGTGTATAGTATAGTGTATAGTAGTGTAGTGTATAGTAGTGTAGTGTATAGTAGTGTAGTGTATAGTAGTGTAGTGTATCGTGTAGTGTATAGTAGTGTAGTGTTTAGTAGTGTAGTGTATAGTAGTGTAGTGTATAGTAGTGTAGTGTATAGTAGTGCAGTGTATAGTAGTGTAGTGTATAGTGTAGTGTGGTGTATAGTGAAGTGTATCGTGTAGTATACTAGTATAGCACACCGGTGTGTTGGAGAGCCAAGCCACAACATTTACAATCTGAGTACGACGTTTTGCCAGTAATTACAACTAGCTTCATCAGGCGACAGCCAGATTTGTGAAGTCCACCTGTTTAATTTCTTATATAGAGGCGTAGATGTGGTGAGCACCCTTCTGCACAATGTGGGGGGGGAGGGGGATTAATGAGGTACGCTGCCCTTTGCAGGCATGCATTTAAATAATGTATTATTTGATTATTCGTTTCCACACAGCACTAAGGCGGTAGCTATCTGAACGGTTAAAGTTATTTTTATTTATTTCAATAACGATAGATTCTCTAATTAGTCTTGGCCAGTAGTAGCTAGTTTTGTATGAATCTGCCAATATAAAATGACTACGATACAATTGTAGTGGAATAAATAGGCGTATGGGGGTAATTGGTGAGTTTGCGCGGGAGCAATTAAGCTGGGGGAGCTAAGGACGGCTGTGATTGGCTGGTGTGGTTGTCAGGGCTGGAGTGTGATTGGCTGGTGTGGTTGTCAGGGCTGGAGTGTGATTGGCTGGTGTGGTTGTCAGAGCTGGAGTGGCGTCTTGAAGTCTGGCGAGGTAACACGTGCACGGGCACGCGGAGCTTCGTTGGGACACGGGTTAATTAATTGGGGTGTAATGAGAGCGGGGATAAATTGGGGATACGTGAGGAGAAACAGAGAGTTGGAGTCGGGGGCTGGACGAGGCAAGACGTGGAGCAGCTGAAGAGAGAAGCAGTTAGCAGTGGAGAGAGCATAGTGATAGCGAAGAGCGGAAGATAGAGACGAAGCAGTTAGCAGTGGAGAGAGCACAGTGATAGCGGAGAGCAGAGACGAAGCAGTTAGCAGTGGAGAGAGCATGGTGAAAGCGAAGAGCAGAGACGAAGCAGTTAGCAGTAGAGAGAGCACAGTGATAGCGGAGAGCGAAGAGCAGAGACAAAGCAGTTAGCAGTGGAGAGAGCACAGTGAGAGCGGAGAACAGAGACAAAGCAGTTAGCAGTGGAGAGAGCACAGTGATAGCGGCTGACCCAACATAACCCGCACTGTCTCTGTTTCCATGCAATACGCACCTTTCTACTCCACTACATATATATGACTCGTGTGTAAAGGACTCGTGTGTAGAGGACTCATGTGTGTGTGTATATTACTCGTGTGTGTGTCTAGGACTCGTGTGTAGAGGACTCGTGTGTATATGACTCGTGTGTGTGTGTGTAAAGGACTCGTGTGTAGAGGACTCGTGTGTGTGTGTATGACTCGTGTGTAGAGGACTCGTGTGTAAAGGACTCGTGTGTGTAAATGACTCGTGTGTAGAGGACTCGTGTGTGTGTATAGGCCTCGTGTGTGTGTGTGTGTATAGGACTCGTGTGTAAAGGACTCGTGTGTGTGTGTGTATGTGTGTGTAGAGGAGTCGTGTTGAGGACTCGTGTGTATAGGACTCGCGCGTGTGTGTATAGGACTCGTGTGTAAAGGACGCCTAAGAGCGACCATTATTAAATGTTAATCGTCACTCGCGGCAAACAACCACCGCCATGACCATTTGAATTGGCCGCTAAAAGTTGCCGTAAATTTGTTTCTGCCGATCTTAAGCCAGGATAAAGGAGGAGGGCTGGCGTCTGGTGGCCGTAAAACCCTAAAGCCAAGACATGAAAATTCCGAGCAAACAAACGGCCCTCAGTCCCCTGCAGCCCCTAAGTGGGCAGAGGGAGCGAATCATCTGGGGATCTAATGACTGCCACCGCAGGGAGTGCAGACCCGACGGTGGTCGTTACGTTGTCTGCATACATCAAGATGCAGAAACAATGGGAAGAGCAGAAGGTTGTTGGGGAGCAAGATAAGGTTGGCCACGTGAAATATTGGAACAATGACAGGAAAAGGTCAGGAATTACCAGACTGCTTGAGGAGGAAAGTCAACGTTGCGTGCATCCAGGAAACAAAACGGGAAGGCAGCAGAGCAAAAGAGATTGTGGTTTTAAATTGTTATACCATGAAACAACAGCAATGAGAAATGGGGTTGGAGTTGTGCTGATTGAGTAGATTAAGACAAAGGTGGTGGAAGGCAGAAGAGTGAATGACAGACTGCAGATAGTCAGACTGGTACTGGGCAGCGGGGTTGTAAATGTGGTGTGTGCATAAGCCCCACAGATGGGCTGTGTAGGGAAAGAGAATGATTAATTTAGGGAGAGCACAGCAGAGGGGTACATCTCATGCATCTGTCAGGAGTGACCTCAGTCAACCCATTGGCACCTGCTGGATCTGTCCTGTGACCTGCCAGGAACGAGCCTTTGACACTTCACGTGATCTCAAAGTGCACCTAGCCTGGCATAGGCGCCGTGGTGACGTTGCTGCCACTTCGTAGCGAATTGCGGGTACTATTGGTTATTGTAATTTGAAAGGAGTGCGCGGTGGGGGGGCGTGAGAACCTTTGGGAGGACATGAGGCATAGAAGGGACACGGGGGTGAGGACAGCTCGGGGTCTTGATCTCCTTAAGGTGCCACGCCTGTTGAAACAAGCTCGGCCGTAGGTAACTCTGCGACCGCGTGCCGGGATCTTCTACAACTTGTGAACAAGGCGGAGCGATGGGGCTCTCGGGAAAAAAGGGGCTGCGTGTGTGGCATTGGAGTCGTGACAAAACGCCACAAATAACTTGTACCGAGACAGAAAACACAGGAGAAACAAACGTGACGTTTATTAACATGTATAATTATCACACACGTGAGCCGGACCATGAATCATATTCCCTCATTTAGAGTGGGGGAAAAAAAGTGGCTGTCTCAGCCTCTTCCAGTCAAGGGCAAGGATGCTTGCTTGCATCGTTGCTGCATTACAAAAAAACCCACAAAACTCCGATATCGCTCGTCGTGTATATGCGTGTGGCTCAGTGTGCTCTTGTGTCGAGTTTCGCTCTCACAATGCTCTTTGTTTGCTCGGAGGAATACATTCCGCTACTAACGCGATACGCAGGAAACCTAAAAACGTGAGGCCACACGCAGACTTCCGCGTGCCCAATCCGCAGTGCCATTATTATTACTGCTCGAGATTCATTCCTCCTTGGTGCGGGAGGCCAATCGTGCAGGGCGTATAGTGGCATGAAGCGACCTCGGGAAACTCTAAGCCAATGAAGATCAGAAATAATAATCATCATCAATCGTTGCATTTATTGGGCACTTGAATGCCTCAGGAACTCAAAAGTGCCTCAAATCACACCTCATCTCAAACATTCGAAGGGCACCCCCGTGGCAGCTGTCACCCACGGTACAAAGTTGACTTGGTGCCGAGTGCCAGACGCCTTCGGAACCGGTCACTGGGCAGCACTCGGCATATTGAGCAATCGGTTCACTTATTATGTACACGTCTCGAGTGCAGCATGGTCAACACATTTCATACCTCACACAGTGCAATGCTAAAGGCGGGTCTGCTGCAAAACATGTATAGACAATACCATCACCCTGTTCAAAGAGAGAGACAGATATCCTTCAAACATCGTCGAAGAAGAGCAACGATTATTAATATCGTTCAACTGCGGAGGTTACCAGTGATTATCACAAACAGCACCCGACGTTCTCAGTAGCAGCGTGTGCTGATGTTCAATGTGAAGTCACAAACGCTCCGAAGGTGAGGCCCGCCAGATTGTGGCTAAGCGGTAGAGCGAGCGGCTCGCGATCGGAAGGTCCGTGAGTTCCCATCATCCCTCGGGGTTAGATAAAAAAAAATCACTTTGCGAGGAAGCACAGTGGTTCTTAACACGGCGCTAGGCTTTCGTGACCAATGTTATTATTCGCTGCATGAGTACAATGCGTGTTGGACAACACTACCCATGTGCTGCTGGAGCAGCAATCAGTTGTTCATCACGTGACAACTTTATTCACTGGCTGTGTCGAGTCAAGGAGGGTGTAACGACACAAATTTGACTCGCACGGTGACCTGATCCAGAAACCAATTATTTGTAGTGATTTTTTTGGATAGACTTTCCTCCCTCCATAGAAATCTGGACTTCCATTGATTCAGGGAGCTGTAAACAGGAGTTTTCTCCATCGCCTCGATGCTCCTTTGGCTTTTGAGTAGGCCAGTAACAATTCAAATCTCCAGTGATATCCACTCATTGTCTCCATTTAATGTCACGATTCGCTCACACAGCAGATACGCACTTTGTATGGTTGTGGATCGAGTTAAATATATTTGGCCGCAGGGGTCACATCAACCAGTCCACATACAAATGAGAAAAAAAAATCCATACGCAATGTTACGTACAAGCCGCGTAATATTTGATTCGGTTCATAAAATGTTTACCTGCGAAAACCCTACCATATTAATCGCTGTGCTGCCCTTCTCTGCACTGGCTTTAGGTAATACTTGTAGAATTGCTTTACAAATTCTGTTACCGATGGTTAAAGCACTACATATAATGGCACCAGATGTACTCGTCAGAGTTTGTTGTTCCCATTCAGCTTTAGCAGCGTAGCGATGAGGTCGCCTGATAGCAGTGGCCTCTGCTCTGCATTGCGAGGGTCAGGCTCAGGAGGAGAGGAGGTGGCTTTTTGTGTTCAGGCTCCACAACTGTAGAATTCTGCCCCAACGCACCAGAGGTCGCCCCGCAGGAACTACTGTTAACTCGAGGCTTAAGGCCCATTTCTATACTCTAGCATTTTGATTTTACTCCGGCATCTTGCGACAATTTTACCCTTTAGTTTTTCCTTCTCTTTGTGTTTTTACGATTATTCGAGCGTTTCCACATTTGTCTTTGTGAGTGTTTGTTTTGCCTTAACCTCGTGTGAAGTGGCCTTGCACTCTTGTGGCATTAAAGGTGCGCTCTCTAGAGACTATCATTATTATTTGATCATCATTATGGGTGGAAAATGTACCCTGCATGTCAATGATTCCCTTTGTGTAAAAAATCACGGCGGAAGCCAGAGGGCGCACGGGGCCGCACACGGACACCAACAACAGCCAACGGGGGGCCACCGCGCGCGCCGTCCACGGCGCCAAGTAGCGAGCGTCGTTGCATTTCGGAAAGGGTAATTTTTGCCGTTATATTTCCACGAGGTCTGTGGATTACCGGCACTTATGGTGATCACAAGTAAGTTTTGTCTGAGACAACTTTCGTTTTTTGTGAGTCCTGTTTTTTTCTGCAGCACAATTGTCTTTGCTCTGATTCTATTGATTCATTGCTGTACTTAGACTCTATATCACTGCTTTTATCATTTAGGTGACCCGGCTAACTTTTGCAGATCAGACTCTCATCCTGGTCACACAAAATCAATTTGAAACTCAAAACTTCGAACCGGCACCTTCATATGTTTGACAACATTCACAACAACAACAAATAACATCTTGCACATTACCCAGCGGCGACCGACGAGAACCAAAAAGAGCCGAGGGATCCGCTTGTAACCATGGGCGACATGCCGAGAGCCCGGGGTAACGCGTCAACGCGTCTCAGCGAGTGAAGAAGTGGCGAGCAGACTCGGGTACAAAACCAGGAGGCCGTGAGGAAGTTCACGTGCGACCAGCCTCATCGGTCACGGCTGGGCCATTGCGTTACTCGGCGGCCTGGCCGACAACGTCGAGGGGCCCAGGCAACACGGGCAGAAGGAGGCCGGTTGAAACCCTTGCGGAGATGAGCGACAGGATCGGTTCACGTCGCCCGTCCCGGAATTCACGGCCCAGAGCCCTCTAAGGTTTGGATTTTCTGAGATGCGTCGAGGGCGTTTTTTGGCTTCATGGTGGTAGAAAAAAAAAACCCAAATCCAGTTAAAGTTGCAGCACCAACGGACGCCCCTCGACACGCACGCCACACTTGCAAAGGCGATAATACTGCATCAGGGTCATTAAAATCGGTAAGACAGTTTTTCACGGCAAATCGTAATGTTTAAATATGATTTATCCTCGTCATCCCCACGGATGATAAAAAAACAACCCCTAAATGGGCAGTGGAGAATAACAACCCCCCCCCACCCACCCCCGAGCTCCGACCCACCTACACGAACGGCTGCTCGACGATACAAATTCACCCCAAACCCCCCGTGGTGCGGCGGCCACCAACCATCAATTTTCTCTCTGTTTTGCGACTGCAGCTGCGGGGAATGGCTCGACGGACGTCTGCAGTTCACGCAGGCTGGTTTTGAGAAACGTTTAAAAAAAGCAGAGCGACGCGTTAAGCGTGGTCCCGAGAGAATTTGGTGTCGCGGCAACGCACGTTTGCAGAATGCTCATCGCAGTACCAGGTCGATTGCTTCCGTTTTTGTCTCTGTTAGTGAAGCTGTGGCTGAGACGAACAGGAAAGCGACGTACGGGTATCTTTAGGCAAAACAAGTGATTTCGGTGAATGTACCTTTCGACGTCGCCGCCGCTGGATGAGGCCGGGGCTATGGCTTAACATTCCCTCGGGCGAGAACGTGAGGATCTCCGTGACCACCGTCACCCGCCCTTCCGCGCCCGTACATCTCCCGCCGCCGCTGTCTAATGCGTCGGAAGCCGCATGGACACCGCGGGCGGGCACAAGCCTCACGGCGCAGACCCCGGCAGCCCTCCACATTAGCTTCACGGACGACGCAGGAGCCAGCCGCACGCACGCACGCACGCGCGTTTCGCACAATCTCCGGCATCTCCGCAGGGACCGCACGCCGCATAGATGGGGTGCGCTGTCTCTCCGCGAATCCACTGCCGTTATCGGATCCCCGCGGAGCTGGCAGCCGGGAGCTCCTTCTCGCCTGCCCATGCGCGCGCGTCCACGGTTAGGGGAAAGGCCGAGAGGAGTCTCGTTCCTCTCACGAGAGGAACTCGTGAGGCTCCGAATAGTCCGTGATGAGGTCCTCCAGCTGGTGGTCGAGCTGCAGGAACGACGGTCGGCAAGCCTCCTCCTTGTGCCAGCAGTTGTACATGATGGAGTAGAAGTCTCGCGGGCAGTTCGTGGGACACGGCATGCGGTAGCCGTGTTCCAGCTCCTCCAGGACCTCCGCGTTGGTCATCCCTGAGTGCGGAGTGCGGGGGGGGGGGAGACAGTGGTACACGGCGCTGGATGCGGGGAGACACGGCGGAGTGGTTGGCATGCTCATTCGCTGGAAATCCAAAGTGGTTTCCTGCTCGAATGAGCAGTGAGGCATTGGTGCTCATCCCTTGCCTACAAACCTGAGCCAATGGTGGATATTGCACATTGTTCTGGCAGGGGGGCAAGTCTCTGCATGGATAGGACAACTGTAGTTGACCTCCCCACGAAGTGGTTTTATAAACCGTGGAGGGATGGTGGGCTGCATCCAGGTTTGAACTTGCAACCTTCCGATTGCGAGCTGTTCACTATGCAGCTGAGCCACCTGGACATACAGAAAGAATGAAGCCCAACACGGGTGTTGCATAGCATGCATGGACGTGCATTGTTCATGTGTGTGTGTGTGTTAATGCGTGGTGCTGGCTACAAAACTACCCACTTAATGCCCACCCACCACATGCGCTCACGACCAGCACTTTCCCAGCAGCCTGTTTGGCTATATGGGGATTATTTGTCTCGTCTCTGCACGTGCGTGGGGAGCAGTCGTGCGTTCCAAGCCCAGTGGACCGCAGTTTGATTCTCACTCAGGACCCATAACTGTGTTGATGTTGGGCTTTCCCCAGGCCGACAGCCCTAAAGGAGTGTGGCCTTCAAAGGTGCTCGCGAACAACATTTTTATTTGGCCACGTAAAATAAAAATACAAATGTACAAATCCCATCAGTCACATGGCCATCTGGGAGTAAAACATTTTTCGCAGCACTTGGTTGAGCGCAAGCAAATTATGGATGAGTTTTGACATTCAGTGCCTCATCATGTTGTTATGTACAGCTTTGGGGGGATGTTTGTCATCGTGTTGTGTGGAGCGGTGGAACAGCGGCTGGCGCATTAGGCTACAAACCCAGCAAATCCGAGGCTGAGTTCCGCTCACAGCTGTGAACAGTGACAAATATTTAAACTGGTACAGGGTCTCCATTACGTCGACTCAGCCTCAGATGAGCAGCTGGTTCGGTGTGTAAATATCAACACTGTGGAAAGACAAAGGCGGCCGGGCATGGTGCTGACCGCCCACCCCCCCCCCCCGCGTGTCGTGCCGGCGTTCACAGGTGCTCGCTCACAGCACCTCACCCCAACAGTGCGTCAGGGGCTATACGGCCGGACCTTTGGTCTTCGTGTGTGGTTTAAGGCGTTTTCTCTGCTGCTGCTGCTCACCCGCGTAGGGCACCTTTCCATACGTGACGATCTCGTACAGCAAGATGCCGAACGACCACACGTCCGACTTGATGGTGAAGCGGCTGTAGTTGGCTGCTTCGGGGGCCGTCCACTTCACGGGGAACTTCCCTCCCTCCCGGGCGATGTACTCGTCATCCTGCGATCAAACACGGACAAAAATTCCCCCCGTATAGCCTATAACAGACTGTTGAGGCGAGGTGCTGTTAGCGAGTAGCAGCACCTATGAAGGTCGGCACAGCACCAGGTGGGGTTGGGTGACCAGCACCACCTGCCGGCCACCTTTGTTTCCCTAGTGGCGATGTTTACAAATTCCACCAGATACTCATTTGTGGCTTAGTTGACCTAGGGGAGGCCCCGGACCGGTGTAGATAATCGTCACTGATGTTGGCCATGAGCAGGAATCGAACTCAGGTCGCCAGGTTCGTAGCACAGCACGCTAACGGCTACACTACCGCTACCCACACCAAGACTGCCACCCCCACTACCATCACCACGACTGCCACCACTACCGCCACCGCTGAGTCTACCTAGGAGAGGCCCCAAGATCAGTTTAGATAATTTCCACTTGTGTTGGTTGTGACGGGGAATCAAACACGGGTCGCCAGGTTTTGAACGCAGCACGCTAACCACAAGACGACCGCTCCCCATGATCCTGCGAACGCACGCACAGTCACTCTTCCTCGCTCTACTCAGTGTCACTCACCCGCAGCCTACACGCTGCATCGTCTTCCCCTCCTTACAGCAAGACACAACCAAATACTTAAGGCTCCTTATTTTTGTTACATATGGCCCTTTTTTGTTACTTATGTTTTCCACAATGGGGCTATTAATTATTCTGTGTTGTAACAGAGAGAGGGTTCTGGTAGTTCACTCACATTGGTTCAAGAAAAGCCTGACTGCTGATGAGACACTGAATGTAGCTTGTGCTGAACCAATGCTGTTGAAACTATGCACTCCCAGAAGGCTGTGCGACTTATGCGAAAAGAAAATCGATATTATTTATTTGCTTTTTATTATGTGAAGGGACTTATAATTGAAGGAAGCAGATTGCCTGCTTATTTATTTTGTTGCTTATAAATCTCCACAATGCCGGTCATGAATATTTTTAGGTAAATCCAAAACAACAACAAAAATCACGCTCAACCCAAACGTTGTGTCGAGGCCGGATTTTGGGAGTTTCTGGACAACGGTGATCCGAACGTCGGGAGCGGGTCGCTACCGTTCAGCCAGGTGTGAACTCAAGGAGCTAGGATCACCCCGTTTACAAGAGTAGCCTGGGTAAAGTTCAGTCTGTGACTCGAACCCAGGTCACTCGCTGTCAAAGGCAGCCATGTAGTATGTACGTTGAACTTCTTTTGCACCGTACGTAGCCAACCGTGCTAATCAGAGGTGCGGAGGAAGGCCAAGAAACTAAGCGGAAAAAACAGTTCTAAAGAAAATTAGTTTTGAATCTAGATGATTTAAAAGTCTACGGCTCCAGTGGCTTCCTAATATCAGAAGGGAGAGCATTCCAGACGGCTGCAGAAGCACATCTGAAAGCGTGCGATATGGTAACCGTCTTTGTTCAATGGCCAGCCAAAAGCCGCTGCGAGGATGATCGGAGTTCACGTGGTGGTTCATGCTCCTTGACGAGATCATCATGGTATTGGGGTTCATTCGTGGCCAGCGCTTTGTGTGTAGTAATCAGCGTGACCTCATGATGTATTAGTTCGGCAAGCGGAATCCAATGCGAGCTCGACGAGCACTGGACGGACGGACGGTCGAATGTTGCAGTACCCGCCACGACGCGTGCCAGAGAACATTTGCGCGCGCTGCAGCTGTAGAGACGGACTGATCGGGTCGGGGAGCGGCAACGCTGCGGGGCCCCTCCCCCTCAAGCCAGGCCCCCGCGCGCCACGCCGGCGACCCACCTTGATGACGCGCGCCAACCCGAAGTCGGCCACCTTGCAGGTGAGATTGTCTCCGACCAGGATGTTCCGCGCCGCCAGGTCGCGGTGGATGTAGTTCTGGGCCTCCAGGTAGGCCATGCCCGACGCCACCTGCACGGCCATGTTGATGAGGTGGCACATCTTCAGGACGCCCCCCTCGTCGTCTGCAAGCAAAGGCACGCGCGGCGCACAACGAACGGCGAGGACGGCGTCAAGCTTGATTTTGTTTGACCAGATGACAACTCATGAGAACCAAGGATAGAGTCTGATTTGCAAGAGTGACCTGGGTCGCCAAAAATAAATGAAAAAGCCAATAAAAAATTACAATCACGAAGAAATCAACGATGAAGAAAAGATAAATGAGAGAAAAAAAATAAGCAAATAGAATCGAGAGACAGCTGGGTTACACAAAAACAAATGCATTACGGACGGAATTGAACACAGTGCACAAACTTCAATAATTGTAACATTAAATTATTTTTCTTGAAATGAAAGTAGGCTCCAACAAATTACTTTTAAAAACAGGAGTACATTTAAGTTACAGAATTATCCACATGAACGGATTGAGGGGTGACGATGGCACTGGTATGGACACGCACATGGATGTGCCAAGCCAAACGCAACTGCGAGTGAAGATATCATGGAGGTTCGACAGCTCCACGGCAGTCAGATTGAGATTTCTAATTCTCAAGAGCTGGAATTTAGGCAAATTATACGAAAACCCAAATTTGAGTGTCATGGTGTTTTTGTGCAGTAATTGGTAACTGGAGCTGCCGTGGTTTAATCAGGTTCCAGCTCGCCAGTCCGATTCCATCTCCCGGCGCGGCAGTTTAAACCACGGCGCAAGTTTAATAAATCCCCAACACCACTGCTTCTGCCAAACCAGCAGTGTCAATGGGTACAACTACGGTTAGTCAATCGACCGGTCATCTTTGGTGGGGCAGAGTGTGGATACTCCCACCTATTCCAGCAGTGGAAGTGTAGACCAAATACTATCTGGAGTTTGCTCGAGTGGAGGTCTCACAGACCCTGGTCTCGGGTTAGCAGGCGAGAATTTGGGGTTGCCACCATCCCCCCACCCCTCCTCTTTCAGTTGGTTACATTCAGGACTTGGGTCATGCAGCTGCTACAGCTGAGGAGAAACCCCTCAGCTCAAATAACATCATGGGTGCAAGGGGGGGTTGACCCTGCCATGGGCTGCTGTTCTTCAAATTTTGGAGGAAGTAGCCACCCCTTGCGAGTAGCTAGCTGATGTACCATCTGCTGAAGAAGTATGAACAGCGATCCAGAGTCTGAGAGCAGGTAAAAGTGCCAGGCAGAGATGACCCCTTAGCGAACAGCTAAAGGAGGGTGGCGTTGGCATCCAGGCTGCCCTGTCTGTCTGGACCACAGGAGAAGTTCCACAGGGTTGTTGAGATGCCCTGGTGGTCCCCCTTTTTTTAAAGGAGGCCACAACAACTACTTAGACATCTCCCCCCTCAATGTGAAGCCGGGAATGGTCCTGGCAATAATTATTCAACAACACATTGCCAGACACGCTGAGGAGAGGCTTGTGGAGCCCCATATTCTCTGTTCGTCTGCTAGAGCAGAGATGTAGGGGATTTCAGCAGGACTTACATTTCTGCTTTATTGATCTGGTCAAAACCCATAATAGATTCAATAGACCAGGGCTTTGAGTTATTTTTCGTGCTTTTAGGCTCCCGGACCCGCTGCTCATAATGAAGAAGTAACTGTATAATGGTGAGCAGGCCTGGGTAAAGCTGAATAGCAAGAAGTCAGAGACACTCCCTGTTCACCTTGGGGTGTGACAGGAATGTCCACTATTTAACATATTTGTTGACCACATAATTCGAGAGGCTTTCCATTGCTGTACCAAATGAGTTTCCATCTGGTACAGATACAATTGGAGGCTGATTGATGCCAAGGGTATGGTCAAGTGATGACTCCCTGTTACTCAACCTGATTATCTGGTAATTGCTGCTCACTCTGAGAAGGAGTTGGAGACTCTGCTGCTGTACTGGAGCCTGCCACTATGAGGTGGGGTCTGTACATCAATTCCACCAAAATAAAACATCTGCCTTAGTATTTGGGTCATCATATACTCTACTCTCTCAACTCCCCATGAGTGATGGGGCAGTTGTGGAAAGAGTGGAGAAGTTTTAATACCTGTGCAGCATGCTTATTATTTCAAATCAGTCGAGCAGCGTTGTTTCATCAGCTGCGTAACGCTGCGTGAAAGCTACCTGGCGTATCACCCCATATAAAGCATTTGGTATTTTCAGCCACAGTTATGCCCTCCCTTCTCTAGACTTACAAAACGTGAAGCCTTTTAAAGGAACATCTGTGCTGATTTTAAACATGTACGTAGGCTGGCCTGCCTATGATCCATCCTAGGGCTAACCAGATGGTACTGTGAGGGGCTTTCAGATCTTTGAAAGATCTGGACACCGTACTATTAGTGAGCTCCTCCAGCGGGCGAGGCTGCTTTGGCTGGGTCATGTAGCCCGCATGCCCAGTCAATGTATAGGCAAGCAGCGTCTGCTTGGCCAGATAGAGGGGGCTAAATGCGTGTCGCAAGGGCTAGAGAAGAGGTGGGCTGATGTGGTATGGAAGGATGTAGAGCTGAGTGGAATGGTACCAGCCGTGTCAAGATCGGCCTCTGTGGAAGAGGCTCGTGAAGGACGCTACCTGGGCAGTTGGAGGCAGTCGGAGGCAGTCGGAGGCAGTCGCCCTCCAACAATAGGGGAGGGCAGAGAAGCGATGCTCACAACAATGAACATAGCGCCTGGTGGCTAAAACTGAGCAAGTTGGCACAGGGGAGAGCACAGGTGGTGTGTCTGCCAGCCATCTCAGTCAACCGTGACCTCCTGCCAGCGGGCGCTCGACACTTCACTGTCTTTAAAGTGCACATAGCCTGGCACGAGCGCCGTGGTGATGTCACCGCCACTTAGTGGAGAATGGCAGTTGGTATTGTTGTTGTTGTGAGTGTGCGTGTGAGTGAGCATGTAAGTGTGAGCACCTGTGAGTATGAGCGCGTGTGTGTGCGTGCGAGCGAGCGGCTCACTCTGCAGGTACTGCAGCAGGCTGCCGTTCACCATGAGCTCCGTGATAATGTAGATGGGCTCCTCCGTGGTGCACACAGCATACAGCTGGATGAGGTTGCAGTGCGTGAACCTCTTCATGATGTGCGCCTCAGCCAGGAACTCTTCGGGCACCATGGCTCCTGTGCGGACGCAAGGCCCAGAGGGCCCGGAGTGTAAAGCGGCCGGCAACAAACAGCAACTGTCAAAGTTGTGAGCGACAAAGAGCGGAAACGCGATTCTCGAAGTGAGCAATGTAATCAGAAGAAAATAAACTCAACGCATTCGCCAAGCAATGATCCAAAACATCGCCTACTTTCTAAGTGTTAATGTTACGTATTTATTTATTTCATTTTACGGCCACAGTGTTATCGACAAATGTGTGGGGTTTTTTTATGTTATTTGTGGTTGTGCACCACTGACAATGCAGCAGCATCACCAGACAAGTGAAGGTTCTTACAAGAGCTTGGGGAATACCACGATACAGAGAGGGGACTCCAAAGTGGAGCAGTGCAATAGGGAGAAGCAGAGAGAGATAAGTGATATGATCTGCAGTGAGTCTCACGTGAGAACCTATTGCCAAGCAGATTATTATTTGGCGATGGCGCTGATGCAGGCGTTGCGAGTGGTGCACAATTAACAAAAAAACACTCAACGCGTTTAGGCATATCTATACAGGAGGCTCCACGCGAAGCTACGGCTCTTCTCGGCCACAGCCACCCCCTTCCTTCTCTAGGATAGCGAAACCTGGACCCCTTTAAATGAACATCCGTGCCAGTTTGAAACACGCAGGGCTGACCTGCCTGCGGTGTATTCTGGGTTTAACCAGGCTGGATTGTGTGAGGAGCTCACAGATCCTCGAAAGATCTGGACACAATCCCTTTGGTGCGCTCTTCTGGTGGACAAGGCTGCATTGGTTGGGTCATGTAGCCTGTATGACCAGCCACCATATGCCCGAGCACATTGTATTTGGCCAGATAGTGGGGGATATACAGGCACGACACAGGCTATAGAGGAGATGGGCGGATGTGGTACATGAGAATGTGGAGCTGAAAGGACTTGCCGATGACCGGTACTGGCGGTGTCAAGATCGGCCACTGCGGAGGAGGATCATGAAGGACGCAGTTGGAGCCAGCTGCCTTCCAAGAACAGCGGATGGAGAGGAGCGATGCTCACAATAACAAAAATTGGAGCGGCGGGCAGCTAAAACGCAGCAAGTTGGCAAAGTAGGGAGCGCAGGTGGTGCATCTGTCATCAACTCATTCGGTCAACCCATGGCACCTGGGAACCTCCTGCCAGCGAGCCTTCAACATATCACGTGGCCTCAGGTTGCACCTAGTCTGGCACAAGTGCCATGGTAACATCACCGCCACTTAGTGGTGAACGGCAGTTGTTGTTGAATGTATGTAGGTGTGTACATATTTGTGTGTAGTGGGGAGTGGTAGTACAGCGGTTAGCGCGCTGCGCTATCAACCCGGCGACCCGGGTTCGATTCCCGCTCACAGCCAACACCGGTGCCGATTATCTGAACCGGTCCCAGGCCTCCCCTAGGTCGACTCAGCCTCAAATGAGTACCTGGTGCGGTGTATAAACATTGCCACTGGGGAGACAAAGGCGGTCGGGCGTGGTGCTGGCCACCCACCCCCTCGTGTACCGTTCCGGCAATCATAGGTGCTCGCTAACAGCACTTGCCCCTACAGTCTGTTAAGGCTATACGGGGGAACTTTGGCTTTGTGTGTAGTGGGGAGTGGTAGTGTAGCGGTTAGCGTGCTGCGCTATGAACCTGGTGACCTGGGTTCGATTCGCACTCACAGCCAATACCAGTGGCGATTATCTGAACCGGTCCTGGGCCTCCCATAGGTCGACTCAGCCTCAAATGAATGCCTGGTGCGATGTGTAAACATTGTCACTGGGGAGACAAAGGCGGCCGGGCGTGGTGTTGGCCACCAACCCCTCGTGTGCCGTGCAGGCCTACATAGGTGCTCGCTAACAGCATTTGTCCCAACAGTCTGTTAAGGAAATATGGGGAGTCTTTTCCGAAGGTGTGTATGCGTGTGTATGCGTGTACGTGTTTGCTGTGTGTGCGACGCATGTCTGTGAGCACCAGGCTTGAGAGTCTTGACGGCGACGCGCGTCGTCTTGTTCCACAGGCCCTCGTACACCTCCCCGAACTGGCCGGCCCCGAGCTGGCGCAGCAGCTCGATGGAGCTCCTCTTCACCTCCCACTGGTCCACCGTGTCGTGCGAGAGGCCGAAGGTCACAGGGCTCGTGACCTGCGGAGTAAAAATAAAAAAAACGCAAACCCCCTAAAGTCAGCGTGATTCCCTCCACTAATGAGCAGTGAGCCGGCGCTCATCTCCCGTTTGCAGCATTGCAGAGTGGTGGAAATTCCACGTTCCTATGGCCGGGGACGAGTCTATCCATAGGACAATTTGTTGAATCCCCAAGAAGTAGTACTCATTTTATAGACCCCAGAAGGAGGGATGATGGTGGGCTGAGTCAACCCCTGCAACTAGAATTTCAAACTCACGCCTTTCGAAGTGCAAGCCGCGTGGCCGGATCGGCAATTTTAATATTTTAGAAATAATTAACTCATTGCATTTGTTTTATTTTCTGTAATTCTAAAGTATACACTGTAGACAGCTTCACAAAAAAAATTAGCTAACACTCCTATTCTCGCACAGGTGTCTGAGACGGATGCTGGGAATTCCATGGCAAAGCAAAGCAGAGGTCCGAAGAAAACACGCGGCATGTGAGTGCCTCGGCTAAATGATGGGAGGTGAAACGGTTGCGCTGGGTGGGCTGTGCGTGCAGGGTGCGTGGGACCGTTGCCAAGACCGGCGTTAGAGTGGACTCCACAAGTCCCCGACCAAAGGGATTAAGAGATTAGCACCTCCAATTAGCACCTCCAATTAGCACGCTTGGCTACGCATGGTGTGAAAAAAGTTGAGGGCGCCACGGTGGTGAGATGTTAACTACCTCGCCTGGTATACAGGAGGGCATGGGTTCCATCCTGACCTTGATGTCTGTATATTTGGAGTTTGCATGTTCTCCCCGTGGTTGCGTGGATTTTACTCCAAGTTCTCCGGTTTTCCCTCCACATTAGAAAAATTCCCTGAGAGTATTTGGCTGCTATACATGTCCACGCGACAAGCCACTTCGTTCAGCTATCATTTGTGGCCAGGTCGCTTCTGAAAAAGAACTAAATAGCTCAGTGGACCTTACCTGGTAAAATAAAGCAAGTTTAGTTTATACATACATACATACAAGATAAGACTTCTAAGAGCAGATAGTTGGAGACTGTCAGGGTAGATCTATGGGTCTCTGCATCTTTGTGTGAGTCTATGGGTCTATGTGAGTCTAAGATCAGATTGCAGGAAACTGTTAGGGCAGATCTATATATCTCTATGTGAGTCTGTGTTGTCTCCATCTGAGCCTATTGGTCTATATGAGTCGAAGGCTACACGGTGGGAGACTGTAAGAGCAGATCTATGTGTCTCTGTGTGATTCTGTGGGTTTCCATGTCAGTCTATGGGTCTATGTGAGTCTAAGGCCACAGGGTGGCAGACTTTGAGGGTAGATCTGTGTTTTTGCGAGTCTGTGGGTCTCCATGTGAGTCTATCGGTCTATGTGAGTCTAATGCCACACAGCAGGAGACTGTAGGGGCAGATCTATGTGTCGCTGTGTAGGTCTATGAGTCTCTGTGCGAGTCTGTGGGTCTCCATGTGAGTATGTGGGTCTCCACGTGAGTCTAAGGCCACACGGTGGGAGGCTGTCAGGGTAGATCTTGGAGCTCGCTGCATGTCGACCCAGTGGCAGCTGCTGCGGGATCTGGAGGAGGGTGGAACGGGTTGGTAGCGAGGTGCAGTGGTGCTGCTGGAGGCATTAACAGCCTTGGCCTGGCTGATGACTTCCTGATCTTGCGTGAATATGAAAATAAATCTGAGAGAGGCAGCCGAGTGACTCGGGGCGTCTGCACAATAAGCCAGGTTTCAAATCCCAGAAACCACCCGGTGAGGAAACTGGTTCTCATGTTTGGTGAGTTGCTGCTCTCAGCTCGGTATGGCACTAAAAGTGTGCAAATCTAAACAATGTAGTTTTTCATTACATTTTTTATACAAATCAAGCTCTGATGAATAAAACCCTCGATGTGACTGCCCACAAAACGAACATCATAATAGCGGAGGCACGTGAGAAAGTATAAGATGACATCTCGATCTACCCTGGCCCCTGCCCTGGCGAGGCCCTGGCGGGGCCCTGGCGGGGCCCTGGTGGGGCCGCACCTGTACGCAGGGCGAGATGAGCGCGCACTTGAGGCCGTTGGCTTCGAGCACGTGGTGCCGCACGAGGTCCTGCAGTGTGGAGAAGGCGGCGCGCTTGTTGATGGTGAAGCCCCCTCCCTCCAGGGGCTGGATGTGGTAGTGCCGCACCTGCTCCACGTCTCGCACTGGGCACGCACACACACACGCAGGGCACGCACACACACGCAGGGCACGCACACACGCAGGGCCCGCACACACACACGCAGGGCACGCACACACACACACACGCAGGGCACGCACACACACATGCAGGGCGCACGGGTTACGGCAGCGGTCCCCCAACAATGAAAGGTCAAAGTGATGCTCTGCTCAAATGAAGCATTGAGGCAGCCGCCCACCTTCTATTTCAGCCTTGAGCCAGTGGTGGAAATCCACAAGCATATTCGCAGTTGAACATCCCCCACATTGTGGTACGCATTTTTATCGACCCCGGAGGGATGACGATGGGCTGAGTGACACCCCCCCCAACCGGGATTTGAACTCGCGACCTTCCGATCGCGAGCCGCTCGCTTGACCGCTGAGCAGCCGCCTGGCACCACCGACCGTGCCCCAAGAACACGACTCTGACGAGTACTGAACAGCGTTGACGACTAAAACGCCATAATGATGTCATACCTAAACGGTTGTGCAATAGGCAAAAAGAAGTACGGTGGTTAGTGCAGGCTCGCGTGAGATAGAGTTAGAAACCCCGGCGAGACGAACTTTGCTTTGCGCAGAACGAATAAAAAAAGGATTTCAACGCAGCCTCCTGCGCCACCTCGGGCACGAGGGCCGCAGTGCGCGTGTATGGGGAACGGCGGTGGAGTGGTTCGCGCGCTGCGCGACGAATCTGGCGACCCGAAATTGATTCCCACTCATGGCCAACACCAGTAGCAAGTATCTGTACCGGTCCTGGGTCTCCCCTAGGTCGAGTCAGCCTCAAATGAGTGCCTGGTGCGGTGTGTAACACATTGCCACTCGGGAGACAAAGGCAGCCGGGCGTGTTGTTGGCCACCCACTCCTTCGTGTGCCGTGCCGGCCTACATAGGTGCTCGCAAAAAAAAACAAAACCCACCTCCATGTGGTGCCGGACGAGCAACGCTGTCATGGGCAGTGCCGTGGGGGGAGGGCCAATTCCGATTGGCCTTTCCCCTCAGGGCGTTTGTAGGTACCACAGCGGCTAAATTGGAGTGCTGGACGGGTGCAAGGGGCTGGTAACCCCTGCACCTTCAATACGTTACCACTAAACCACGTCTAAAATATCTAATTAATAAGCTTGTGCAGGAGGCCCCGGGGGGACAGGCATCTATGACGTCTCCTGGCCAAACCCCATTTGGCGGAGCCAGGAGATTGAATCTTTACCCTCGGGGCTCCTCCAGAAACAACAAAAAGCCACTACGGATGTACATGTGGAATGTTCGAATGCTCACTGCGGGGAGAGGCTGCACTCACTCCTCTGTCGGGAGCTGGACCGGTACCACCTGGATCTCTGTGGCATTCAGGAGGTCCGGTGGATCATCGGCTCTGGCTCCTGCCACCATGAGGGGTGGACAGTCCTCTACTCGGGGCAGGAGACTGCCAAACAACAGGGTGTGGCTCTTCTTCTGAACAAAAGAATGAAGGGGGCGTGGAGTGTGGCGGTGAGGTGTGGGAAGCTGTAAGCCCCAGGCTACTTTGGGCTCGCCTTCCCATCAACCGGGGGCGAGGAGTGATGGTTGTGGTTACTTATGCCCCCACCGAAGACGAACATCCGTGGAGGGATACAGGCAAGGCCGATGAGTCAGATGCCTTCTATGACCTCCTGTCACAGGAGCTGGCTAAAGTGGCCCCTCGGGAAAGAGTCATCTTGTTGGGTGACTTCAATGCCCAGTTGGTCATGATGCTGGCACTGGTCTGGAGTGATTGGAAGGCATGGGCCAGATCAGCTCAATAAAACGGTAGGAGGCTGCTAGATTTTTGTGCAGCCCATGGGCTTGTAATTACCAACACGCTGTTCCGGCATCGGCGCATCCACACAACATCATGGATGCATGCCGGGTCCAAGAAAGAACATCTGCTGGACTACATAGTGACAGAACAGCGGATGCGAGCCCATGTCCTTGACACCAGGACGGAGCTGATCTGCCCACTGACCATCGACTTGTCATCTGTAAGATGTGCCTGCCATTCTTCCACTCCTGGTGGGTGTACACCCAGGACCCCATTCAAACCTAGGTGGCCTGGTCTCAGCTAGCTGATGAAAGTTGCAAGCGAGAATTTATCATCAGTTGTAGCTGGGATTGGCATCGTCCACCCTCCTCCTGATGTCGAGGATAAATGGGAGATTTAGGACTGTGACTCATGCAGCTGCAATGGCTGCTTTGACGCAGTCCAGACCTCCCAGAGACCCTGGCTGACAGAGGAGGTGTTCAAGCTGGCCGAGAAAAAGCGACAGGCCCTAATCTCACTGTCTACAGAATCTTACGTCAGAGAATGAGTAGGCTTACCGTAAGCCTTCGCTCGGAGGTTCGGAGAGCCGTGAGGTGCTGCAAGGATGGGTGGTGGTCGCGGGTTTCTGAGGAGATGGAGTCTGCCTCAATGGCAGCGACACACCTATTACCACATTAGGGGAAAAAACGGTGATCCAATCTCCGACCCCCAGGAACAGGTTTGCAGATTTGCTGAGCATTTCTGTGAAGTCCTGGGGAGGGGAAATCCCTCGACATGGAAAACATCGTGGGACAAAGTGGGGATGACCCTGCTGAGGCTGCGGTGCCTCAAATATTGGAAGAAGTCACCCCCTGTGAGTGGCTGGCTGAGTGCCATCTGTTGAGGAAGTACTAAGGCGATCCAGAGTCTGAGACCAGGAAAGGCACCGGGCAGAGATGATCTCCCAAGCGAAATGCTGAGGAGGGTGGCGTTTGTGCACAGACTGCCCTACATGACATCATAACAACAGTCTGGACCACTAGACGGGTTCCGCAGGATTGGAAGGATGCCTGGTGGTCCCCCTCTTTAAGAAGGGGGACCGCACAGACTGTAACAACTACAGGGGCATCTCACTGTCAGTGTGCCGGGAAAGGTCCTGGCAAGGATTATTCAACATCCCTTGCCAGGCACGCTGAGGAGAGGCTTGCGGAGCCCCAATGTGGTTTCAGGAAAGGGCGGTCCTGCACAGATGCCATATTCTGTCCGTTGCTACAGCAAGGTGTAGGGAATTCCAACAAGACCTACATCTCTGCTTTATTTACCTGGTCAAGGCCTATGATACCATCATTAGGCCTGGGCTCTGGGTTATTCTTCGTGCTTTCGGAGTCCCTGACCCTCTGCTCATGATCATTAAGGACCTTCATGATGGTGAGCGGGCCCGAGTAAAACTACGTGGCCAGGAGTCAGAGCTATTCCCTGTTCACCTTGGGGTGCGACAGGGATGTCCTCTGGCTTCCACATTATTTAACATCTTTTTCGATCACGTAGTTCGTGAAGCCTTTGATAGCTGTACCAGAGGAATTTCTATCTAGTACAGATACAATGGGAGGCTGATCGATGCCCGGGTGCGGTCAAGGGATGGCTCCCTATTGGTCAACCATGTTACGTTTCCGATGATTTGGTAATTTCCGCTCACTCAGAGGAGGAGTTGGAGACGCTGCTGCTGAAACTGGAGCGTGCCACTAAGAGGTGAAGCCTTACCATCAGCCCCACCAAAACTAAGCACCTGCCTGGGTATTTTGTACTATCGGACACTTCACCCCCACAACTCTCAATCGGTGATGGGGCAGTTGTGGAGAGAGTGGAGAGTTTCCCATACCTGGGCAGTGTGCTCATGACCGGCTCCGGTTTGACTGCAGAGGTCTCACTCAGAACCAGTCGAGTGGCATATCTTTTCATCGGTTGTGTAACGCTGTGTGGAAGCTACCTGGTCTGTCGCTCCGCATGAAGCTTCAAGTCTTCTCGACCACAGTCATTCCCTCCCTTCTCTATGCTTGCGAAATGTGGACCCCCCTAATGGAACATCTTCGCCGGTTAGAAACATTTAGGCTGGCCTGCCTACGATCCATCCTGGGTTTAACCAGGCTGGATTGTGTGAGGAGCTCACAAATCCTTGAAAGATCTGGGCAAGTCCCATCGGTGAGCTCCTCCGGCAGGCAAGGCTGTCGTTGGCTGGGTCATGTAGCCCACATTGCCCAACCACCGCATGCCTAAACAGCTTTTTGTTCGGCCGGATAGAGGGGCTAAACGGGCACAGCACAGGCTAGAGAAGAGATGGAGTGATGTGGTACAGGAGGATGTGGAGCTGAGTGGACTTGCCGATGACTGGTACCAGCGGTGTCAAGATCGGCCTCTGTGGAGAAGGCTCCTGAAATACGCTGCTGGGCAGTTGGAGGCAGTCGCCCTCCAACAACAACGGAGGGCGGAGGAGCGACGCTCACAACAACGAGCGGAGCACTGGGTGGCTAAAGCACAGCAAGTTGGCACAGTAGGGGGCACAGGTGGTGCATCAGCCACTCATCTCAGTCAGTCAACCCGTGACACCTGGGTCTGCCCCGTGACCTCCTGCCAGCGGGCGTTCGAAACTTCACGTGGCCTCAAGGTGCAGATAGCCTGTCACAAGCGTCGCAGTGACATCACCGCCACTTAGTGGCGAATGGCGGTTGTTGTTGTTGTGTGTGCAAATCGATGTGTGTGTGTAAGTCGATGTGTGTATACTTCGATGTATGTATGTGAGTTGATGTGTGTGTGTGAGTCGCTGTGTGTGTGTAACTCCATGTGTGTGTGTCTAATGGGGGAGCAATAGTGTAGCAGTTAGCACGCTGCGCTATGAACCCGGCGACACGGATTCGATTCCCGCTCACGGCCAACACCAGTAACGATTATCTGAACCGGTCCTGGGCATCCCCTACGTCGACTCAGCCTCAAATGAGTACCTGGTGCGGTGTGAAAAAAAATCGCCACTAGGGAGACAAAGGCGGTCGGGCGTGGTGCTGGCCACCCACCCCCTTGTGTGCCATTCCGGCCTTCATAGGCGCTCACTAACAGCACTTGCCCCTACAGTCTAGTAAGGCTATATGGGGGATTTTTTTCTTTGTTTTTTTTGCGTGTGTTTCTAACGTCGATGTCTGTGTGTGTGAGTCCATATGTGTCTGAGTGTGTAAGTCGATGTGTTTGT